AAAAGACGCAAGATAAGGGGCTGAATTTGAATTCATTAGAAGGAATGTGATTGGATAATAAATATGAATACTTAGATATTATTCTAGCTAGCTCTAATGAATTCTTATGGACACTTGTTAGTAAAAGAATGATTTTGATCTCAAAAGCCATGGATACATGATACATTTATTATTAAAAAAAAAAAACATGATAAAAAGAGAGACATAATTAAAAGCTGAACCTCATTTGCTGTAAAAGATTTTATTCATTTTTTCTTATTCATGATAAATCGCATCAACTTATGTTCTCAGAAAATGACAAGCCAGTTCTGTGGCTGATTTTTTACAAACATTTGAAATTGAAGTCATCTCAATTTTGGTAAAAATAATTTTTACAGTGTTAAAGTTTTTTTTCATCCATATACTGGATGGTCCGAAAGTCTTGTTACCCCATACATAATAATAATTATAATTTTCTATTTCAGATGGCTGACACGATATGATAATGTTCATACAGACCTTCTCGATGTGTGAAATCATTAATGAAAGTGAATAAACTGAATCCAGTATATGTGCTTTGTATTACTGCATTATTTGTTCTTCTATTGTTCTAATTACTTTTTTTTAGTTTTTGGTATGGGGTGACAAGACTTTCGGCCCACCCTGTAGATAATTAAAAAAAACAGTTCCTAACACATATTGATGCTTTATTTTTTTCTAAAAATGTGTGATCCCAACAGAAATTGGGCTGACGTCAGTAATGTTTTTAAATAGTTTCATTTTTTCTTTTAAAATAAAAAAAAAACAACTTTTTTTTATTAAAAGAAAATCATTTCAGGTTCTGGTTATATTGTAAAACTAAAAGTGCTACGGCATTGTGTGACGTCAACGCATAAGTCCTGACATTCCATTAGGGACCAGAACTTTGCACCGAGGTAAATCAACACCACCGGTGGGTAAATCCCCAGCCAGATATCTGCACTATCACCGTGATGTAATGGTTAGCAATCTTCGGATAGCACACGGTTACAACAGTAATATTAGGAGTTCGATCCTTGCTGGGTGCATGACACTTTACCTTGTGTCAGAATGTAAATGTTTCAGTTTCATTTGCTTGGTTGGTGAAAGCAATTAATTTAAGTTTCCACAATATAAAAAAAAATAAAATATTTTTGCATCATTAATAATTAATTGTAGTGGATTATATTTTTAAATATGCAATGTTTAACTTAATAATCAGCAATTAGTTTAATAATACTAATTAATAAGTCAACAATTAATCAAATGATGACAACTTGTTAATGTTTTTTTACACTTAGTGACTTACACTACTGTTTTTTCTTTAAAAAGAAACTTAATTGTTTAGGAATGAAAGAAAAGAAAATATCACTTATTTCATTATAGAATGGAAAATTTTAAGTGAAGAAAATGTAGATTTATTTGGATTTTCCTCAGGTTTTATAAATTAAATTAAAAGCCAACACAATTTTATTTTCTACGATTGTAGTAATGCTGCGTAAATTATGATTTTTAAAAGCATTTCTACGATGTATAAGAAAATAACAAATATTGATTATGTTATTAATTTTAACATTTAGTGACCAGATGAATTCAAATTGATGAATTAAAATTTCTTTTATATATTAATTAAATAAATTATAATTTATATCAGATAAACGACATTAAAAATATACCAGAGCAGGCAAAAAGATATTTTTAAAAAGATACAAAGTAGTAATAGCGAAATATGAAATAAGAAAGTTATGTTTTTAGTTTTTCGCAAGTGCTGAAGAGAAGGGTGTGTAAAACTAAAAAAAACAAAAATGTTTTTTTGTTTGTTACTGACATTATTATTCAATTAGTTTTTCTTACCTGGACCAATCTGATGGTGACAGAATGCAAATAAAAACGTAGACTGAGTTTGCAAAGTCCAAAGTTTGCTTATCATACAATCCTAGTCTTTTATGATAACTTGAACATTTTTGTGTGATGAAGAACTTTAAAATAAAATTCTATTTTCCCATATCGATGACAGATACAACTTCCTTTCTTGCGGAACCTTTACACAAAAAACAAATACTTCACTAGAATATAACTGAATAAAAATTGAATTATTTTATTAGGAGGGAAAAACAAGTAATTAAGAGATAAAAATATAATAACTCTTAGTTTTCATTTACTTTATGTTAAGAAATAAATTAGCTAGGCACTATAAACTTAACATGGGAATGGATTTAGTATTTGTCTATGTTCGTCCGCCATCCCGTTTGTTGTAGTCCGGTTTTTACTAGTTCCACATTTCGTTTTTATATCAACTGTTTAACAGGGTAAGCGCCGCCTGGTGGTGGGGCCAGTCATATTATCAGGACAAGCAGCAGGAAGAAGGAAGCTAGGAACTGGGATTTTGGTGGACAGTAAACTTAATATCAATCTGGTTTCTTTTTTTTTTTTTTTCCTTTTTTTTCTCTCAATACATTTTTACTACTGGAATTACTGAAGCCAGCACTGATAAATCTTAAATATGAGTCTCTTTGATAACGTCAAACGTCTACACGACTCTGAACTTTATAGTGACCTAAAACAGCTGGTAAGTAAAGTAGACTTTAAATGAAAAACTAAGTAAAGTTGAAAAAAAAAAAAAAAAACAAAAACTTTATTATGGCTTCAGTCCGTTATTTCTTAACTGTGATTATATAGCTTTTCAAATAATACTGAGTGATAGTATAATTCTGAAAATACAAACAACTTGGCATTGTTGTTAAAATGTTAGCTAAAGCAAAAAATATAACCGTGTTTTCACTAATTGAAACTCAGCAATTGTGAGTTAATTTCTAAATTGTGATAAGTTTATAATATTTTAAATTTAAATAATATTATATAAAAAAAAACGGTTTGGTAGAGAAATTTAAAGTGATTTCTTCAAATACTTGAAAACAAGGTTTTTTAATTCACACAACTTGTAAACCACTCTAGTTTAAGTTATGTGACAAAACAAAATAGTGAAAAAAAAACCTTCATTCAGTTAAAAAAAAAGAAAGAAAAAGATCACACGTACACTAAAAAGTAGGCAAATAAATTAACTTTTTTTTTTTTTAATTAAAAAAAAAAAAATGATTTAAATGACCATACACTAAAAAGATAATTGGTTGAAATATTAAAAATAAAATGAAAGTATAATTAAAAATATTTTGATAATGGAGAACTTTTCACGTAAACATAAAAAAAAGTAATGTATTATTTTTTCTTGTCAGATTAAAAAATAAAAAAAAAACAACAATTTCCCAGTTTAAAACACTCAGTAGTTCTAAAATTAATTTTCTGGTACATAAAGCTACAAGTTTTAATTGTTTATCGTTTGGACGAATTTGATTTTCTTTAAAAAGTTGCAAATAAATGACTAGTTTTTTAGTTTGTCTTTTTTATCCTTTATTTTTTAACCGATTTTACTTGTCTAGATGATATTACCAACCATTAAACAGAAAGTGATAAAAAAGGAATTATCGCGAAGAATAAGGCACAAACTAGTAGTGAATATATGTGATGTGAAGCTAATCAATAATGTGCAGAAAATACTTTTTAAATTGAAGTCGTTCAAATCAAAATTTCTCATTTTCCACTCCAATGCAAAAATATTTATGTTTAGGTATGAATTGATTTGTTTTTTAGTTTACATTTTTAATTTTTAAAAGTTTATTAATAATCAATCGCTAAAAAATAAATAAAAACACTGATCAATAATGAAATGCATTAAAAAATGCTTAGGAAAAGGCAATTAATCTTTCAGCGTAGTTTTCTTACATTATTTATTTTAAACACTATTACACAATAGTTGATCAATAGTCATTTTTCATTCACCTTAATTATAATAGAATAGATTTCATATTACAGAAAACAAATAAGTAATAATACTAAATAGCAACAAGCCTAATTAGTGAAAATTTGTAAATTTTTTATTATTTTTTGTTGCTCTTCTTAGTCTTACTTAAGTACTAGTGTTTTTTTGTTTTTTTTTGTTGTAGTTTAACATTTTATTTTAAATACTAGTTTAAGAATTTATATTTCTTGGTATATTTATTTACTACATTTTAAAATAATTGTACAATGATTTTTTTGTGAATATGCGTGCAGTGTTGACTGTATTGTTGCTGTTATTGTTTTTTTTTTTTTTTGTTTTTTTTGTAAGTAGTCACTTTAGCCATGCAACTGCTGTTTCTTCTAAGTCCATTCGTACTCATTCTCTGTTTAAAAAAAAAAATTAAACCGGATTTTTTTTTTCAAATTTTAGTTTTAAGGTGACGGATTCTTTGATCATGCCATCGTGTCTCTGCTACTTTCTGCATCCTTTCACATTTTGCTTAAAATTGAAACAAATATTTCACTGAGTAAAATTTTCTACTTTGAAAAGACAGGTAATGAAATTCTAGTTTACTCACGTGGTAAAATGTAACCTAGTTTAAATAAAATAAAATAAATATCGACTCAAGTTAGATGCCTTCCTTTAAAAGTTAATATTGTGCGAGATCAAGCATTTTTATAATTGAACAATTTATTTCATACAAAATATTTCGTGCCAAATATTTTGAAATTTCAGTGTTTTTAAAAGGATGTGAAAAGTCTACCTTAGTCTTTGTAATAAAAAACCGCTATTTTTGCAATGGACACTGGCCTTGGATTTTTAGGGTTAGTAGACTAGAAGTTGGTACTTTATGGCCGTTTTTTAGTGTTTCTATTATTGACTTATTTCATAAATAAATGTTTTTAAATTTACGTGCCAGATGTAAAAAGGTATGAAACAATAAGGTATATAATTAATCATTTTTAATTTAAAATAAGTTAATTTTTTGTGAGTGAACTGGGATTTTATTTATTTCTTTTTACTACTAAAGAAAACACTTTAGGTTTCCGTTTTTTACAAATCCTGACTGAACACTTTTAATACCGATCATTTTAAAAAAAACAAAAAAAAAAAACTTTTTTTAAAAATTTTATTTTAAAATAATTGACTGTCAGCAATTAAAAATGTTATGGAATCTTTATCAACAATTTATTTTAAACAGTGTTTTTATTACAGACATTTTGCTTGTCATTAGGGAAATAAAAACAATCGTAAGAAGCTAATTTTACTTTTATTTTTTCTTTCTTGATTCACTTTCTTAAATAAAGTTAAAAATTAATTAAATTCATTTAGTTTTTGCTTAATTTCTTTATCGTTGTAAAATATAAATTTAATTTTAAAATTCTATTTTTAAAATTAAAAGTAGCTTTAAAAGGGATTTTTAGGGATTTTCATTTCATTATTAAAATGACCCATTTTTTTCATAATTCTTTTGGTTGAAAAAAAAAACATCGAAATGATTTTTGTTTTTTGAAACAAGAATTTCTTCTCAATATGTATAAGAAAAATTCAATTTTTTATTTATTTTTAAATAACACGTCAACGTAAGAATTATTTACAACCATCGTTTCAAGCATAAAATTCAACATGTTTCTATGTTTTTGATGCAAGAATTTAAAGAACTTTGAGAACAACAAAGATAAGAATGTAAATAATAAGTTCTCAACCCAGAAATTCAGACAGAACTTGGAGAAGTTTATTTTTTATCTTCTCATTGGTAGTCTTTAGTTTACTTTACAATGTTACAACTGTTTTTTTAATCTCTTTTAGCATTTATTTACATTTTGGCTTTCATTTTTCTACTCTTTATGGCATTTCAAAATTGTAAACATAACCAACCACTAATTTTTGGTGTCTGGAGAAGATATATTTCTTAAAGCATCCTATGAGAAATTTTTCTAGGCATAACCTGAAAGCAAATACTGTTGAATTGAGAAAGAAAATGAACACAAACCCGTTTAATGATTCTATGAAAAAGAAGTGAAGGTATTATTAAAGATTATTAGTACCGTTTCAAAAATACTCTTGCTCTTGCATTACTGACGGGTACATTTTTTTTTTTTATGTACAATATATTGAATAGAAAACTTGGTCGGACAAATTTAAGGCACAACAAATTGACAAAATATGGCTAAAAAAAAATTAACTTCCACTTTTAAACATTGGTGTTTTGGTAATTTTTAGATCTGATATGAAATTGGCATCTTAGAAGTTGATTACAGATTTTTCTGGTGAGGCAAATATTCTTTGGAGACTCTCTTGAAGTTTATATTTGTACAATGTCCTCTTAGTAGAATATTATAGATACAACCTGTTTTTTAAATTATTAATATTCTCTGTATCTGTTCTCATGCTAAAAATGTACCAGAGAAATTTAAAGTATCTGTTTACTTTCTTTTTTAGTATTTACTGTATCATACATACATAATAATATCGAATTAATAAAAATTTTGACATTTAAATCCTACCTATGATCTAAGTTACAGCTATCTAATATTTAAAAATGTTATATAAAAGTGAAAAAATCATACTGAATCATCAGTTCCTGTATGATCACCGAAGTTGAGCATTGTTGAGCCTGGTCAGTACCTAGATGAGTGACAACTTTGGGAATACTAGATGCTGAAAGCTTGGATATGCAGATGGTGTAATGGATATTGGCTTGGAATTATTAATCAGATAGCCAAGTTCCAATTCCAATTGGGTTCTTTATGTGCAAATACCATTAGGAAATCGATCTCTTCTCCCCACAGCTATGGGTTAACTAAGGCAGTTTTGTTTGTTTAAAAAATAAGATCTAGATAATATCCCTAGACATGGACAGTGGAATGAGAACAGTCTATCCTTGTAGATTAAATAAAGGGTTCAGTTCAGAATCACATCAGACCCACATCAATATACACCTGAGGAAGGCCGGAGGGCACACTGGCTGAAATACTGTGATTACAATAAAGATGAGGACAATAGTCTGAATATAAATAATGATCATTTTTCATCCCACAAATTCAGACAGAAGTTTGTTTTTCATTGGAAATTTCTCTAACTTGATTCATTGTTGTCTTACTTTATAACACTGTCTGCAATTGGAGCTTTACAAAGCTTGATGTAGGATTTTGTGTTAAGCACCTGTGATGTTGAGGGGGTTACAGCCTCATAATGTTGAAACACTGCGTCCTTGTACAATCACTGAAATTAAAGAATGTTGAGCCTGGTCAGTACTTAGATGGGTGACCACTTGGGAATACCAGGTTCTGTAAGCTTGGATGTGCAGGTGATGTAATGAATAATGGCTCAGAATTGTTAATCAGATAGCACAGTTCCAATTCCAGTTGGGTTCATTATATTCACTCAGACGCAAATACCCTTGGGAAAGGTATGAATCCATCTCTTCTCCCTCCTGTGGGTTAATTAGTAAGACATGTATTACTAAACCATTATTATCTTAAAAAAAATATTACATACAGAATATTTAGGTTTTGGCATTAAATAACCCATAGAGGTTGATATGTTGCTAAACAACCAACCTGTGATGAGATACCATAGTTACATTTTCTTCTAAGGATTACGATAACCTCAGGATATAAATATTGATTCTATGCACTTTTCAAACACTGGAATTTATACCATAGAACTATATTCCTTGAATTAAAAGTATGCTATTTGTCTCTATTAAATGAATGTGCAGATTGATCATGCTCTATCTTAATACTGTTGGTTATAAATTTCACTATTTAGTATTATTGGTTTATCTGATATAAATTTAGTATTATCTGTAGGCACTGTGGAGTAATGGATAGCAGCTCGGCTTGAGGAATCGGAGAGCTGAGTTCGAATTCCAGTCAAATCCATTACATTCACTTATGTGCTAATATCTTTGGGAAAGGTATGAATCCTCTTCTTCTCTCCCCCGCCCCAGTTATGGGTAAGTAACTGGACAGACCACGTTCTATAGCTTTGGATGGCAACTAGTCTACTTCAGAAAGAAATGGCAACCTACTATGGGGGAAAAAATCTGCCTCGTCAGTCATGTATTGAAAGATGCATGATCGCTAAGCGTGTATCACATATGGCACATAACTGACTGATTATCTGTTTGCATGCATATACAATGCTAATACAAATATACTGTATAATGTAGTAATAGGTTAATATAAAATACTTAGTATTTTTTTAAGAAAATTTCTTTTCTCTTATTATTGTTAGGATTTTATTTATTTTTTTTGTAACATTAAAAAGTAAAGTAAAACTAAACACTAGTCATAATTTTAAATGGATGTTAATAAAAATGACTTTTACACAGTATATAAAAAAATAAAATTTTCCAAATTTTAAAGTTTAAAACCTCATTAATTATTGATTTGAGTTAACTAAATTTAAAAAAAAAAAATTTGCTTAAAAGTGGAAGAAAACCCAGGGACAATAATGGATTAGAGTAAAAAAAAATTTTTTTTTTTTAAATAGTTTAGACTATTTTCTGTTATTCTTCATATACATAAATTATATATATATATAATAAATTAATTGATTTAAAATGTTTTTTTTTCCGCTACACAGTTCTAACCATGTTTCCATTTTGGAAACATGGTTAGAAACTGTGTAGCGAAAAAAAAACGTATTTTAAATTAATTAATTTATAATATTAATGCTCTGTAAATTTACATTGGGCTATTTTGTAAAAATAAAAATATCTATAAGAACACCGGATTATATATCTTACTGTTCTTTCTTTTTTATTTATATATATATATATATATATATATATATATATATATATATATTTCGATTATAGGTGCAGTTTAATTTATAATTACATGAATCATTCATACAAAAAACAAATATAGAGGTTAATGATTTAAATGGCGAGAATACATCTTCACAAACAATTTCAATAAGATACACTAACCCCAAACCTGTATATGAATGATATGATCCCTGTTTATAAATTCCAGTTTCATAAGGTCTTTTTTAGTTTTTACAAGTTTTCGTCTGTTCCTACAGACATCCTCAGGTATGGAAATAGATTTCTTCTTGTTTTTTACTCCTCGGTAATAAGAGAACAACGAAAATATAGATGTAATCCAAAAAAATGCTATGAGAAATGTGTTATTGTTTTGGAATGTGCAGTCGCAACACTGAGAAGTTTGAATTTTAAATTTTAAGGTTGTGTGTTTTTGTACAAATATAGTAATAAGAGAATTCTTTTGTACTGGTAGGTTTTCCATCAATGTGGCATGAACTATATTGTTCAATAATTACAGGAATGTCACACTTATTATCTGAAAGTTGCATGTTGGATCAGTTATTTTAATTTTGATTATAGGTGCAGTTTAATTTATAATTTACTTTTTGAAACTCCATTTCAAATTTGGTATTGGGTTTAGCTGGCATTCTTTTATGTGATGTCAAGATGCCTTTGAATCCTAATCAGAATGAGTTTTCTACTATAATGGCTGTTGATACATTTCTTTAGTAAAGGAGGGAAACACTAAAAATATTTTTTTTTAAATAATTAGTATCATCAAAATGAATCCAATGAATCTTCTCAGTCATTTACTTAATCAAATGGACATTTTTCTTTGAATTACACTTTAGCTTTGTTAACTTTTTTTTTTTTTTATAGGTTGCACTTGTATTGACATTGTCTGACCAGAATTCTGATTTACTGACATTGGCCCAGAAGTATCAATGTATTGTATATTATGCCAATGCCCTTTATCAACTTAAAGAATATCGAAAGTCAGAGGTAAGAATTTCTTTACATGTTTCTTTTCATTTTGATGCTACTGGGTTGTCTCTAAAGTTCATGCCGATTTTTAGTTATTTATGTTCCAACGTGTTAGAATACATCAAATTTATCAACAGATCTAATATGCTTACTTTTCTGATTAGAGCACACGTCAAACTATCTCTTGAGAAAGAAAGTTTAAAATTACTTGATTCATGTCAATTTTGCATTCCTATGAAAGGGGAAGATCATAAGGTGCATATTAAACATTTGATGCTTTTTTTTTTTTTTTTCTGTAAAGGCAAAAATGCCTTGCAAGCAACAAAAAAAGATATGTGCTGTGTACAATGAAGATGTTTTAGTTGACAGAACTGTATGGAAATGGTTCACTAGGTTTAGAGTTGGTGATTGTATCCTTATTATTAAAGAATGCTTAGGCAGAGACCCCCGCTCCCCACTACAGATGATGACCAAATCAAGATATTGATTAAGAATAACCCACATTACACAATGCAGGAATTGGCAGAAATAAATTAATCAAAATCCACCATCCATGAGCATTTAGTGAAACTTGGATGCTCAAATCATTACGATGTTTGGTTACCACATGATCTGACTGAAAAAAATCTTTTGGATTGCATTTCATCTGTGATTTGCTGTATAAACACAATGAAAATCCACCCTTTTTTAAGCAAATGGTGATGGGTGATGAGAAATGGATTGTTTACAACAATGTTCAGCGAATAAGATCCTAATGTAAGTGACATGAGCCAACTTTAGCCACCTCAAAAGCAGGTCTCCATCCTAAGAAAGCAGTCAATTGATTCTGAAAAGTACTACTCACAACTGAACAGATTAAATGTGCAATTCAAGAAAAAATGCCCAGAATTGGTGAACAGGAAAGGTGTTGTTTTCCATCAGGACAGTGCCAGATGTTACATTTCTTTGGCGACCTGGCAAAAATTGTTGCAGCTTGGCTGGGATGTGTTACCCTATCTGCCATATTCACCAGACATTGCTCCTTCAGATTTTCATTTATTCAGCTCCTTGCAAAATTATCTCAATGGTAAAAATTTTTAATTTTTTGGATGACATTAAAAACCACCTTAATGAATTCTTTGCCAAGAAACCACCAAAATTTTGGGAAAATGGAATCTTTAAAGGGAAAATGGAGAAAGGTTGTGCAACAAAATGGTTCATATTTAGTTGAATAAATATTTAATGGCATAATTTTGTTTTGTGTTTTAATTTCCTGTAAAAATAAATATTAACTTTTTGGACAACCCAATATTTACTTGCTCAGTGGCTATTTTTTTATGTTGATGTTACTAGCAAGACATGTCAGTCTCTCATCTTCCTTTTTGTCCAGACTTTGGGGTGGTAATCCTTGAAGGGTAAAACAATTTTTTTTCCACATGTTGCTTAACTATAGTTGATAAAAGGGAAGATACAAAAAGATATGAGAACCAAAAGCCTTTTTTTTTTTCTTTGCAAAAACATTTACATAGCATATTTGAATTGCACCAGTCACTATTGATGTAGTGGTTTATATTTTTAACATTTCTAGATTTAAATAAGTAAAACATTATTTTGTAAATAAAGATTTTATGCACAACTTTCTCTATTAATACTAAGGCTATGGATTAAAAAATAAACATATTTCAATAATTGAGATACCTCTAAAAATTTTGGTTTTAGATGCAAAACAATGCCAATTACAACTGTTGGCAACAACAACAAAAAAAATCTTTTGGGAAATGTAAATAAGATTTGAAATTTTTTTTTTTTTTTTGTCAAAAATTATTTTGATTACATTGTGATAAATCAGTTTACTTTTGTTGTTTAACCTTTATCACTCTGTATAAAAAGTTTATCCTCTCACTGAAGTTGACTTTGATTCTTGAATCTGTTTGAATTTCATAGTTGTGTTGTCATATCCTGCTATTGCAACAAAAAACACCTTTGAGTGAAATTAACAATAAGATTACTGAGATTGAGACTCTTGAAAATTTGTCATAGAAAATGAAAAGGAAAGGGAAGTAATATTAATAATGCAGTGTGCTAATAGTTAAAAGAATAACTGAATTCTCTTATCTGTGATATTTGCTGAAGCTTCAATAGCACTAATCTATAATTTTATGTGCAAGTGATAGTATTATTCTCCTGGTGAATAATTCTTAATTTTTAGTATTTGAATTACCAGGCCGGATTTTGAATAACAAAATTGTAAAATTGCTACTATAAAGTTTATTCTTTTTCAGAGTATGTACAGAAAAGCTCTGCTGTTAAAGAAGGTGATCAATAAAACCAAAGGCAAAGGCATAGCTCATGTCGTAAGTTGAGTGTTTAATATGATTTTGTTACTATCAATATGTGGATCTTGACTTTAAATAGTTTGTATTAAATTTTACACACATTTTTAAATATTATTTGGAGAACCATATATCCAAATTTTAATCTGTAATTTTTAAACTAGATAGGTTTCAATGTTATTGGCAATTTCTCTTTTGATAGGAGGAAGAAAAATTTTTAAATTTGATTTCATTAAAAATATATTTTGTAGAATGCTAGATTATATTGGTTTAGGTCCTCATTTACATGAAATTAGGATTGAGCATTTTTTTGTTTTTGTTTTTAATGCTATTGTTCACCCAATACAAGGCTCAAGAACCACTCAAGGTAGAGATGGGTGTAATGGAGGAGGAAGAGTTGTATATTATGAGGATGTTGTAATTTTGGCTAATCCTTATTGCCAAAATGTTGTAACCTAGAGAAGGTTACTGAATAGAATAGTCAAACGAAGGTTGATAATGAACGATAATACTTAAGACAAGAACACCACATATAAGGTTCATCAGCATTGCGTAGAAGTAGTAGTCAACTGCTAGAAGTGAGCCAAGTGAATTCCACAATGATTCTCCAAATGCAGACCAACATACAGTATTTACGACTGTACTTATGTGAATGGGGACGTACCTATTATTGTTTGTAGGTATGCTACAATAGTTCCCATTCCTGAAAGATGTGGGATGATGGTTCAAATTTATGTTTAAGCCATACTGCTTGATTGACAATCACAGATTGATTGATTTGTTTTTTACAGCTTATCAACCCTTTGAGGATTATTTAAAGCTGAAACATATTTTGGATTGTAAGAATAATTTTTTTTTTTTTGTAGATAAATATTGGATTAACAATTTTTTATACTAACAATGATTTTTAGATAGAAACCCTACTATTTGACCAATAAGTTCCCCCAGCTATGGATCAAATAGTAGAAAAAAATTGAAAAAAAATGTAATTGAGTGATTGATTTGTTTTAACAGCTTATCAACTCTTTGTGAGTTATTTAAAGCTAAAACATTAATAATTTTTTTAGAATAGCAATGATTTTTCAGAATACAAGTTCTGCTATTAAATCCATAGCTGGGGAGAGGTGATGGATTCCTACCTTTCCAACTGAGCAAAGTAGTTATGATAAACATAAACAATAAAGAGAGAATCTGTTAGATTGTTGTCATAGAAAATGAAAATAATCTGAATTCAGTTCCTTTATTCTTGAGAGGCTGAAGAATGTTGGTATATGACAAACTGGAATCAAAGCTACGGAGTTAATCAATAAGTTGGTTTCCATGTAAAACTGTTCCTGTTGTAACCTAGGGAAGATTACTGAATAGAATAATCACACGAAGGTTGGTAATGAACGATAATACTTAGGACAAGAACAACACATAAGATTTGCCAGCAGCTGTGTAGAAGTAGTAGTCAACTGCTAGAAGTGAGTCAAGTGAATTTCACAATGAATCTCCAACTGCAGACCAACATACAGTATTTATTACTGTATTTACATGAATAGGCACTTACCCATTATTGTCCATAGGTATGCTACAACAGAGGAATGTGTAGGATATATAATGGTTGACCCTAGACTTAAAGAGGTTAAGATCATAGTGACTAGGAAAGTCTCTTTTAGGGAGTCTATTCCACAAAGTAAGTTTTTGGGAAGCTGTCTGAGTGGAACATTCTCTACCATTGGAATATGCAGGGAATAAGGATGATTAGGCTTTGTGTATGTTTCATTCATAGTGGGTCCTTGCTGTATAAGTCTGAAATGGTGGAACTAAAAAATGTAGCTTGTCTGAACATTTGTCATGGAAATTGTATTAGATTAGGAGAGGCCATCAATGTTTTATTTGTGGAGGGGGAAGGGGTTGTAGGATGAGAAATAATTAATCACTCACAAGGTGGCATAAGTACTTTTGAACATTGTGAAAGGCTGGAAAGGGAGCATTTGGGCAACTCCAATTCAGATATGTCAGAAATACTGCATTTTGAGTCTAATTTGACTCTGTAAAGATAGAGCATGACTGGAGGAGTCAGGTACATTGTCTAGTTGAAGTTAGCACAAGACAACTGGATAAGAGAAACTCATACATATGCCCAATTTATGAGGGGAAAATCACTCACAAGAAGACAGAATATTTGAAAAAAGACCTGATGCATCATAGAAGTGAATAAGGAATTATTTTATGTATGAAAAATTTAATCTTGTACGTTACTATCATTACAATGTAACTGATGAGCATTATTATACACTAGTTTCTTTAGACTAGTGTCCTCATTTTGGTGGTTGTTGCCATAATGTTTCAGTCATTGTACTCTTTATCCTTCTTCAGATGTTTGTCATAGTTGATAACCTGGGAATTTTGACTCAAACCTCAATCCAGTAGATATTTATCATTCAGCTGTCTATGTAAGGGGAGATAACTTGTATCAATTAATTCTATGGAGTGTGTCCTTATGATATTATTTATCTCTATTGAACCCGAGTATATTATTATTTTGTTTTTTTTTTTGTTTTTTTTTCAACATCTGACTCAGGGATTGAACTCATGACTGCCAGACTAATATGTAGAATTTTTTAGACTAATGTTTTTTCTTAATTAAAGGTTCCCTTATTGTGTTCATTTCTCTGCTAGGACTGCTGAGGCGGTCTAGCATGTGCACTGATTCTTTTAATTTGATCTCTTCTTGTCTTTCTTTCTTTTGTTTTTCCTATTATTCTGACATAATTCCCAAGGAATTGGTGATCCTTCCTTTTCCCTCCACAATGGTAGTGTAAATGTCATATACACTAGTTCAATTGAAAAAGTAGGCAAGTGATATTGGGTTTCAAACTCCAAGTTTCACCATCAAATTGTATTCTGGGTTATGTGGCTAAGTGGATGAAGCAAATCTAGTTACTTGGTGGACATAAGTTCAATCCTTGGATCAGGTAGTGAGAAAGCTACATATTCTAGTTCAGTGGAAGAGATATGGGATATCAAAACTAGATAATTAATTGATACAAAATGTCTTTCTTACATGGCACATGGACATTTATATGAAAATTTTTTTTTTAATCATTTCATCCCAATCAAGGCAATAAAGTCACTAAGATGCAAGGGAGCTATAAGAGAATGAGGAAAAAAACACTATTAAAGAGAGAGAATAATAGAAGAACAAGAATTAAGGTGATTGACATTGCATTTAAATTTTTGAAGATCAAAGCTGACTGTAAGCCAAAAGAGTTCTACAAGTAAGAATTGTGAGAGAAGAAACTGTTAGTATAGAACTTAGGATTACATCTAGCCATTTCAAATGTGAAATGATTGGACCTAGCTGTCAACTAGTACAGTGCTTAAATTCATAAAATTTACATACCATAAAGGAAAGCTCATCAGAACAATTACCAGAAAAGTATTTATAGAAAAAGCAGTGGGGAAGTGACTGAAGCTAAGATGTCAGGCAAGGCCCATTGTCATTGCAGATTCTTCTTTGTATTTTATCAAGAATCTCTAAATATGTAGCAGAAGAACCACAGTTTAATTTTATACAGACTGCTTAATCAAAGATTGTGTTATTGGGTATTCCTCTCTCAGAAAAGAATTAATTTTTATTGTATATATAACTTTTTGTCCTGGCTATTCCAACCCTGTGGCAGCAACTTCCTTATTGCACTAAAGTGTTGGTGTAATATTGATGCCAGTGTGACATGGTCATAAGGATTAGGCATTTTTTTTTTTTATCCTTGGCCCATATCTAGGTGTATGGGTTCCCTCCATATAAAAAAAATATTCTGTCACATCTTGCTTTAGTGAGGAGGTCAGGTAAATAATATAGCATCCTTAGAGACAGAAGAGTTCCAAGGAAGATAAATGCTTTCAAGAAACACAACTGCAGTGCACCATTTTATTCAGAGAAAGGATAGATGTATTATACAACAAAGAGAAGAAATTTATTAAAGCAGAGTAGAAAATATTCAATTACTTGTATTTTTTTGTAATGTTTTTGTGTGTAATCTGAAATATTTAAGATGCATTTTGGTGCATATTATTGTATATATGGATAGTTTATTGTTGAAAGCCCCAAATTGATTAATTTTCTGCGGCTTGTCAACTTTTTGTAGGTTATTTAAAGCTAGGGATTTTTTTTTTATTTGAGATAATGGTTTGATGATACAAGTCTTACTAATTAACCTATAGCTGAGGGAAGAAGAAGTGGATTCATACCATTCCCAACTGAAATTGGAATGTGGCTCCCGATTAACAATTCCAAGCCATTATCCATTACACCAACTGCACATCCAAGCTTACAGTACCTGATATTTCCAAGTTGTCACCCATCTAGGTACTAACCAGGCCCAACATTGCTTTTCTTCAATAATCGTACGAGAACCAGTGTTTCAGCATGATGTGCCTGTAAGCCCCAACACTAAAGGTGATGTTAAATGACGGATTCTTGGAGAAGCTGACATAATTTGTGTGTGTATATATATATATATATATATATATATATATATATATATATATATATATATATATATATATATATATATATATATATATATATATATATATATATATATATATATATATATATATATATTATATATATATATATATATATATATATATATATATATATATATATATATATATATATATATATATATATATATATATTATATATATATATATATATATATATATATATATATATATATATATATATATTATATATATATATATATATATATTATATATATATATATATATATATATATATATATATATATTATATATATATTATATATATATATATATATATATATATATATATATATATATATATATATTATATATATATATATATATATATATTATATATATATATATATAGGAATGTAAATTTGGATGTTTTGAAATACACACATATAGTAAATAGTTATTTGGAACAAATAATGTTTAAATTCATATGGTGTTTATGCAATTTTATATATGCCTATAACAGAAAAAAAGATAAAACTTTTTATACTTTGTCATTATCTTTATAGAATTTTGATTGATAAGTTGTGTGATGATTTTTTTTTCTATATCCTGTAGGAAATAACATCAGAAGTAGAAGTGAAATACAAGATTCATTTATGTCATTGCCAACTAAAACAATATCAAGAAGCCATCAACGTTGTAAGCATTATTTTTACTTTTAATTATTTTATTCTTCCACTCCTTTCCTTTCCAGTAATTTAATGTTTGTCCTTTTACAGTTGGAAGGTGTCATAGCCAAGAAGAGAAATGCAAAGATTAATTTGGCCTTGGCACAATTATACCAACAGTCTGGAATGGATCGTCCAGCAATCACAAGTTACAAGGAAGTCATTAGGTAAGCATTCATAGCAGGTATGCAATTACAGAAACCCTCTGATTTATGTAGTTAATGTGTCATTAAAAAGTGTCATGTTAAAACAGCATTATTGAAGTTAAAAAATCTATGGGAAATAATTTAATTTATTCTGAGCCGCAAACTTTAAAAAATTTTAGATTAATTTTTTTCTATTATAGCAAAGGATAAGTTTCCAGTTTATGTTTATTGAAAGAAAAGAAGCATTTCTTTTTACTTATTTAGTTACTGAGATTAATTTGATAAATTTTCTCTTTTTTTTTTTTTTTCTTTGTTCTTTTTTCTTATGCATTCTGCACTATTGGAACATATTTGCTTTCAAATGGTGGTATTGGCAGAAAAGTAAATACAATAAAAAAAAAAATTATCAAAGACTAAATTATTTGGATTTGGCCTTTAATTATGGTACTAATTTAATTTTTTTTCTATTTGATATTTTGGATTAAAAAAATTTTGCTAATCAAGAGTTAACTGTAATCCTCTTCATGCCAGTAATTTATATTTGTGAAGAAACTCTATTGTCTCTGTGTGTGTGTGTGTGGAGAGGAACTTTAGTTAATGACTGGTTAAAGTTTTTGGACTAAAAATCAATTTGCTTATGAATTTAAGAATTTTATTAATTAAAATTTTTCAAATTAACCAGTGTTTGTAAGTAGCAGGGTTGCCATATTAATGATTTAAAAAGATTTTTTTTTCCAGTTTTGATAATGCTTCTTAGGAGTGAAATACCAACAAGGAAATAACTTTAAATATCTAACTGCTTTTTTTGCATATTCCATCTTGTTTGTGTGTGTGGGGTTGTCCTTCTGACTATTTTTCTTCTTGTTTTGTAAGGGAATGCCCGCTGGCTCTGGAAGCTATTATGGGACTGATTGCTCTTGGAGTGAAATGTGCTGAAATTATCAGTTTGGTTATGAACAGTTTACCTCATGGATCAAATTATGAATGGTTAGTCTACCTCTGCAGCCAACAATTTGGTAGTTGATTTTATTCCCCATTTACATTCATTAGTTCTTAATTATACAAAGAAATGGATTCTCTAAGCCATAAGTCAGATTATTCTTTATTCAGGAAACCAGTTAAGGATTCTCTACTTTTTTATGCTCTGATTTGTTAATATAATTTATCAGTAGAATCTAAATAGGAATTTAAATAGAATAAAGCCAGATCACTTTCTGTGTAGGTCATTCTTTACTGAGAGCTAGTTGAATGCTTGCTTTAAATTCTGCTCAAATTGATATTAATAGAAATTGCCAAAATCTAGGATCTTATAAGTGTTTCATACTGAACTAAAACTTATTTATTCTCTGAAAGGTTAGGTTAAATTTCTAAAATAATTTAATTCATTTGTGAATAAGTCTTGAAAGTTTCTTAACTGTTATTTACAAATATTAAACTAGAAAATGTGCTGACATCATTGATATGTGCATATTTTTAAAACTTTTGTAATCTTAACATTTTTTTTTTTTTTTGCAGAACACATCCACAAACATTTGAGATTCATAATTACTTAAATTAAGAATAAATGGGCACATAATTTTATTAATTTATGTGAATTTTTGTTTTGCTTAAAAATGTATATATCTGTTTATTTAAGAAATCTTTTTGTAACCCCAGCTCAAGATATTATAAATAGGACTGCACCATCTTCTAAATCAATAAAAAAAATCATTATTTTTTTATTCTGACAAGTGTTGGTGCCTAATGAAGGTCAAAAAAAAAAAAATAAAATAATCTGCAAAATTAGTTTACACCAAATTTTTTTTTTTTTTTTTTTTTTTTTTTTTTAACAAGTGGACCAGTAAGTTTTTTATATATATATATATATATATATATATATATATATATATATATATTTTTTACTACAGTAAAATATAGTTAATTTGTTTTTTTCACAAGGTTTTGATAAATTTCATCATTGATTTATTGAAACTTGATGTGAATTTGACTGGTTTCAATTTATCTTCAATTTTCAGGTTAACAATGTGGATCAAAGCTCATGTCCTTATGGTGGCCCAGGAATATCCCAGCGCCATTTCCACATTTAAGGCCCTGGATTGTAAGGTAAAGAAAATATATTGTTTTTTTTTTTTGTTTTTTTTTTTTGTTTTTTTAACTAATAATTGTAAGCCTTTTCTTACAATGCAATATTTTCTGCTAAATGATTCTGCAAAGTTAGATATTCATTCTGTACATTTGTCCTCAGGTTTGAAATATTTCAGTAAATATCTGATTTATTTTGAATGAAAAAATAAAGTTTGATTAGTACATGTTTTCATAAAATTATTTTTTTCTTTTTCCTTGTAAATATTTTTAGTGTCAAATTTATGATACTGAATTTACATAGAAAATCATTAAATTGTAGGACAGATTAATGAAAATCACTAAAATTTATAGAAATCTTGTCAGGGTTTTTTTTCCCCTCCTCGCATTTTCTTAACACTTCCACTGCTGTGGACATAGTTGTACAATTTTACAAAACTTACATTTTTGCTTGTTGTCGACACACACACACATTTGTGTAATAAACTGATTAGCACTTAGTGTTATTTCCAAACAAGTGTTGACATAGTACACATGACTTGTTTTGTGATGTATTTTTATTATATTGTATGTTGGAGGTGTTGTTTAGCTTAGTCTGTAATGAAGAGTATCTGATTGAAAACAATATGATGGTACCCATGATTGGTTGATTTTGTTAAGCGGCATATCAACCTCTATGGGTTATTTAATGCCTTCAATTACAGATAAAATGTATTGTTGGTAATTTTACTATAAATATGTATTTTTGTACTTTCATGGTGTTTTGTTTTTGTTTGGGGGTTCACTATTCGTCCATAGATGGGAATCTAACAGGTTCTAGTACCCAGGATCATGGTGGATCTGGGAACAACAATAACAATTAAGAGGTGGTTCCACACTCCTCAAAATCTCCAATCTCCCAATCAGAGGCTTTGCTGCCAGATGTAGTCTATCGTCATACCCAGGACTGCAGCACCCACGAGAAATCAATGTCAGCATTTTTATAATCATTTATTTCTAATAAATGGCAATGTCATATTTTTCCCAAAACTGGCCAGCATATCCAGGTAATGATACTATAATAAATGCAATAGTGAAAGTTAAGTATTCAAGGTTTTCTTAATTGAGAAAGAAAATACTAATGCTATGAATTTAGATTAAAATTCTTACTGTAAGCCTTTATTTTTTATTTTCTTTTGTTTTACAGTAAATAGTTGTTTTCTAGAACATTTCAAATTCTGCTACTTTTAACCAATTATTTGATGTAGCAGATATTCCTTGTTCTATGATTTTTCTTTAGAAGAAAGTATTTACTTTAAGGATCTACAGTTGGGATTCTTTTACTGTGGGTAGCCTCCATCAAATAGTGTAGGATAGTTGTGCTTTTAAACACCTGACAATGGCTAGCTCAGTTGATAGCTGAAAGTGTCCTAATAGTTCAACAAATTTTGGTCAAAATATTAATTGAAAAAAATACTAAAAAAAATTGATTTTTAAAATATGTAAACAAATTTTTCTCCCTTTTTATTTTATTAGCCTTACTTGAAGAACAATGTCAGGCTTTTGTGTTCATTAGGAGAAGCACATTTCTTAAATGGTGATTATCCCCAAGCAATGCAGCTCTTCCAGAAGGTAGGTTCAAGTTGGCATTTTCAGCTGCCTTGTCTAACTTTATGTAAATGTCTAAAGGCTTGTGTATGTGGCATGGAGTATTGGATAGCAGCTTGGATTGAGGAATTGGACAGCTGAGTTCAAATCCATTACATTCACTTATGTGCTAATACTCTTGGGAAAGGTATGAATCCTCTTTTTCTCCCCCTCCCCCAGCTATGGGTAAATAGCAGGACAGCCTGGGTTCTATAGCCTTGGATGGCAACTGGTCTACCACAGAAAGAAATGGCAACCTACTGCAGGGAAAAAAACTGCCTCGTCAGTCATGTATTGAAAGATACATGATTGCCTAAGTGTGTATTACGCATGGCACATAACTGGCTGACTTGTATGTGTTTTTTTTTTTTTTTTTTTTTCATCTTTAAAACCTTTTTGTGCATTTGGAGCCTACAGGAAAAAAGTAATTTAGGGTATCAAACAAAACTTTTTGTACGAGAGAGAATATGAAATAGCTTAAATATTTAAAACTAAATACTTGACAGCATAAGCAACCTGATGTTCTATCTCAAGTTATAAATTAGAAAAAATGATTTTCAGCCAAGACGAAAGGGCTTTTTTATTTACTAGATTAATACTTGTAAAATCTATAGTGACTACTGGGTAACATTGTTTAATTATTTGCCAAATAGTAGAAAAAAAAAAAAATGAGTTTAAGGAAAATTTTGTTTTCTAATATTTATAATAAAAAAATTTATCAACTAGAATTTTCTGATTCTCCTGATTTCTTGCTTTATGTTCACCTCTACTGCTAGCTTGCTTTTTATATACAGTAATGTTTCTTGCTTTAGCCAATGTGCTCTTATGTTTTTGTAATATACTGATAGTGTGCTTTAAAACATTACTTGCTTAAATGGATTAAAAACATTTTTTAATATATCCTGATGAAATGTGGAGTGGATTCTAATATGCTGACACATCTAAACACATTTTGGCCCAAACTGGCAGCTTACTAGAATTTAAATTTGACAGCCAAAATGTTTATCTCAATTGTCTATTGATAAAGGAGTTTAGTTGTAATGTTATAATTATTATCTGCTTTGCTAATTTGTCATCCTCACCATCAGGAGCATAACCATCAAGATGAACATGGTTCAAATAGCAAAGCCTAAAAATAATTCTTCATCGGAAAAGTTCCAACAAAAATTGTTATAATCTAACACGCAACAAAATTGTTACTGCTCCTTTGCACCTGTCAATAAACAATAGTGAAAGAAATCTGAGTAACGTTTGCTTGGTAATATTCATAATAGAAAAAAAATCCACAGAAGAAAAGAAAGCAACTGGTTAAAGAAATTTATTTGTTAAAATTTTTAAACCTTAATCATAATTTGCAGTTTTTGAATTTAGTACAGAAAGTTTTTACATTTGTCACTTAAATATTGATTTTGAGAAAATGTTTGTTTTAGGCTCACTTATCAGACCGACTTAATTTAAAAAATACAGACACATTGGCTTACTTGTATTTGAAAGAAAAGAAAATTGCTGAATTAGAAAGGTATGATTATTTTTCTACTTCAAAAAGTTTGTTTATGCAATTGTCAATTTTTGTGTTCTTAATTATAGCAATATGTTTATTCATTGTTCTTATTTATACAAACTTTCAGTTTGTGTTTAACCCTGGATAATTACTAAATTTTTTGTTTCTTTAGTATATCTTCTTAAATATAACCCATTTTGAACTAATCATCTGCAATGTCCTTCATTTAATTAAATAAAAATGTGGATGAACTTTAAAGATGCAACCAATATGTTATTGTAGTGCCAGAAAATAATGACTTCAAATTTTGAAAATGAAAATTAAATTTCCCTTTAAGAGATTGAGCTGATAAATTCTAGGCTTAAACATTAAGGGTTTCCAAGAAAAATGTTTGGTCAGATTTTTGGAAGTGGGTCAGGCTGAGAATTTTTCAGAATCTCCCTCATGTATATAATGTTTCACTGTATCAAAAGCTTATGGCCACATCACATTGAAACACTGGTTCCTGGACAATCATTGAAATTAAGCAATGTCAAGCCTGGTCAGTATCTTGATGGGTGACCACTTGGGAATACTAGGTGTTATAAGCTTTGACATGCAGGTGGTCTAATGGCTTTGAACTGTTAATTGGAGAGCTGAGTTCCAATTCCAGTTGGATTTGTTATATTTACTTATGTGCAAATACTCTTTGGAAAGGTATGAATCCACCTCTTCTCCCTCCAGCTATGGGTTAATTAGTGAGACTTGTATCACTAGAATATTATTTAAAAAACAAAAACAAAAAATCTTACAATCTAAAAATATTTTCTGGCTTTAAATAACCTGTCAAAGTTTGATAAATCATAGAAAACAAATCTAATCTATCAAGTTTAGTTAACTTGTGTATTCTGACATTGTAAAATTTTCATTTAAAGAGAAGAGAAAAAGTTAGTATTTTATTGGTTGTGTTATACTTTTTAATTAATTTGTCTTTCCTTTCGAATATTTTTTGGATAGAAAGAGTAGTCAAGATGCAGTTTAAATTGATGTTTTGTTATTGTTTATTTTCTTCCCTTCAGTTTGGCTAATCATGTGATGGATGGCAATGAACATGCACCTGAACCTTGGATTGTGATAGGATATTACTGTATGGCAAACAGAAAAGTTATTAAAGCCGTCCCAAAAGCAGTTTACTTTGCACAAAAAGTGAGTATTTGTCTGAGAATATATCCAAGTAGCTTTTATGTGAGTGAGTTGTTACAAGTTATGGTTTCGCTTTTATTAAAGCTTTGTTAGATTGAAATATGGAGAAAAAGAAGGAAAAAATCTTGGTATTTTTACTTTTGTGTTGTTTGATTTTAATTGGTTAATCATATTTCATGTGCATTCAACTTGTTAAACAAACATTAGTATTATTTATTGTGTTTCAAATTCAAGGAGCGATGAAGCATCCATTTGAAGTTCCAAGAAATTAATGGATTCCATGCCTAACTGAAAAAACATGTATATTGCTTTATGTATATAAGTGTATAATAATTCTAGTTTGTCTATGTGGGATTCAGATAACAGTGTATATTTGTAAGTGTGTGTGTGTCTAGCATACATTATGTTTGGCATTTTTTTCCATGTTGATTTAGCATACATACCGTTTATTTTGGAAAAACATATATGGATTTTATAAAAGTTTGTGATGTAATGTTTTTGACATGTGTTTATAGTTGGTAATATAGTTAATAGTAATCCCTCGAAGTACTGTTGATGAAAAGAATTGTTCTTTATCAATTAAGTTGGGATTTGTAAAGTTATGGCCAGTTTTTTTCCTGTGTATTACAGGCGAGTTTGAATGGTTGTCTAAACATAAATCTCTTATGTTTGTAGATATGGGCTTTTAGATTTTGTGATGTCTCTCTGATGTAAGTGCTTTTACATTGTAAACAATTTATCTGATAATTAGTGGCATCCAAATTGGTGTTGGAATTATTTTTCCTCCTTATTATATCTCTGATTGCCTTAGGGGTGGTGGTAAAGATCCTTGTATTAGGAATAACTAATTTATTTACAAGTTTGTAGAAAGAGTGTTAGAGGGTAGTATTAAAATTTTGGATTGTTAGAAGTGTAGTTTCTAGTTTTTTGGATTTGTGAATTTTGTAAGTTCGTTTGCTAGCACTGAGGATGAAATGATGTAGGTAGTGTAGAAGTCTAAATGTTTTCTCCATGTATTTTCTTCACCTAGGTATTCTGGGTAACATATTCTATTTCTTAGATTTGGCCAAATAGCTTTGATTAATGTCAACAAATATTTCAAAAAGTTGAATTGATGAATTCAACTAAATTATTTTTATTTCTTATGATAGAATTTTGGGCCTGTTATATCAGTGTCTGATAAGTAAATGTAAATAAATTTTAAATCTGTCAGCATAGATGTTTTTTTTTTAAATGTCAGGTGTATCAGGTAAGTTGATCTTTGTATAGCAGATTTGATGTCCAAATTAACCATATCAGCTGCAACCCAATTTTAAGTAAACTACAATTTCAATATTAATTTTATTAAAATAAATTTTCTTATAGATGTGGTAGTTTTTCTTGTCAATACAAACAAAATCAAGAAAAATGTAAAAACATTGGAAATTTTTTTTAATGTCTGTTAGTTTCAGTTCACTTCTTGAAAATCAAGTACATTAATATCTTTTTTCTATTTTTAACAATTTTTTTTCAGAAGTAAAATATATTAATCAGTTTTAAATGATAAACATGGCAACAATTATTATTTTTATTTTATTTTTTTTGTTTTACCAGCCAAAAATAATTGAAATTCTTGTAGAAATGAAACTATTGAACTGTTTTGTTTTAAAATAGTCTGTTCTATTTTTTAATTTTTGTCTTTTTTTTCCCCTTGGTTTCTAGGCTTACACGATAGACAACAGAAATGTTGAGGCTTTGTTACTGAAAGGCTCAGCTTTGTTAGAATTGAAAAAAATCCAAGATGCAGCCTCTCATTTCCGAGAAGCAGTCACACTTGCTCCATACAGGTTTGAAGCACACAAAGGTAAGTTCTTTTATTTTAAATACTTGTTCAAACACTGGGTAAAATAAGTGACAATGAAAACAGTAGAGAGAGTGCAGTATTGGAAGTTAAAAGAATTTGTACACAGATAACTCAATAACTTGTAGAAACCAACAATCAGTAAAGAAAAGTCAGAAATTTGGGATTCTATAGATATGGCTTGAAATTTTTTTTTTTTCTTTTAATCCATTCCAAGAAAGGTGATAATGCCACTAAGATGCAAGGGAGTACTAGAAATGAAAGAAAAGGAAAAGACTAGAAGGAACTAGAATTCCAATCATAAACAGAAAACAACATTTAGAACAGAACTGGAAGGCCAGAAGACAAAACATTGTGAAAAAAACAAAAACTGACAAATTATTATCTAGAAACATGATATTGAATTTTATATTTCTAATAGTGAAAATATAAAATGGTGCTTCTGTATGTGTTAAAAAAAAAATTAAAATTTTCTCCAATTAATAGGTAGTTTTTAAATATTTGATTTTTATAAGAACTTTTGCAGCCACTATTTTTTTTTTTTTTTACTTGTATAACAAATGTTTTGATAGATACTTATTTTAGTGTTTGATAATTTATGGGTGAGATTGACGTATATGTTTTCTGTAGACTTGTGGGCAATTTTTGTACAGTTGAATATATGGTTATCCTGATCTTCAAGAACATTTTCATTCTTTTAAATTTAATTTTCAGATATTTTTCAGCAACTGAAACAATTAAGAATGCATATTTATTTTAGTAAAAATTTTAGAAATTTAAATTTGTTATTTTGGCTTCTATGTGCTGTATATTTTTTTTTTTTTTCCCCAGATATTTATTGTGGGGAGTTAATTCATGAATTATTTGGACTGGTATTGTCAAATAAGTTAGAAATAAATTGTACTGAATTATTGTTGTATTATTATAGCGAAGAAAACAGCGACTTACCTCATCAGACCAAGCGACAGCACGTCGCGTGTATTCTGCGACGGAAAATATGGCGAAAAAGAAAATTACTTACCAAACAAAAGGGCACGTATTCCGCATGACATGCTGAAGATGGAAGATTTGAATTAAAAAACAAGTCCGTCGCTATAAAAGTATTTTGATATGCAAAATACTGAACATCCTCTCCCAGCTGTTGACGAATGGAAAAAATACTTGGCTGATAAAAGCAGTTGGTGTTCTCGAATCGGTGTGAAAAAAAGTCGGTTATTTTGGCTGCCATGTTTGTTGGAGAGTGAGTTATTTTTCTGACTGGTTGCGTGCATTGTGATTTGTGAAATAGTACTTGCGAATTGAGTTTTCGGCATTTTCTTCCTGTCCCTGATGTTCAAGTCTGAACTTAGTGATTTATTCTCTGTGATGTGGAAATAATCTGCGACAAACATTTCCTTTGCAATCCCAGATCGCTTACGAATATTTAATGTTATAGATATATATATATATATAAAATCATTGCTTTATATTTTGTTCCAGGTTTGATAGATTGTTACATGGCAAGTCATCGGCCACGAGAGGCAATAAATCTTGCTGGTAAAGCAGTGAGACACTTGGGCAACAATGCACGCTCACTTACTGTAAGTCACAATTAAACATTTCATTCTCTTTCTTTCTTATTAAAAATTCCCAACATAGTTGACCAAAGTTTTAAAATTTGGAATTCTGTTTTACTTTTATTTGAAAAAAAAAAATCTGAAAACTTTAAACTGAACAATTGGTAACAACTTTTCGGGCTCTAAGCAATTGTTGAGATTGAAAGGGATTGATTTGAAATTATCTGGTTAGATTTACTAAGATGATGAAAATTAAAATTTTTTTTTTTTCTAATGAAGTCAATATGTTTATTTCTATATCTTTTAACAGTGTAAAATGTTCTTATGTTTTGTGATTGAATTTTAGTTCTGTTTTTCTTTCAGCTCTATGCATCAGTTCTTTCTGAAGAGCCAACTACTGCCATTAAAGTAAGTATTGAATCCGTTTTTATTATCTGATTAAACTTTATCAAGATTGATTGATTTATTTACTGTGAATATCTTTGATTACCCAACCTCCTGCTGTTTCTGTATTTGATCTTGAGAGAGGCAAATCACTGCCTTCATTTTCATTCTAATCTCCTTTCTTCAAGGGATTTTCCATTTTATGATGTTCATTGGACAAAATTTTCTTAAATGTACAAAACCATGTATAACAGGGAATTACTTAAATTTAATTCTACATTTAAAAAGCAACTTTGCATTGAATCTTGGATACCAATGCAAAACTAAAATGTATTTAAATAATGAGAACTTATAATTACACCTACAATATTAATACTAAATCTATCTATTAATAGTTATTCAATTATATATTTAGAGAGTAAAAGTGTGTTGAACCTAGGATACCATAATTCACATATTCAGGTAAAATATATAGTGACTGATGCATTTTCTGTGGCAACATAAAAAGCCCTGTGGTATATTTGATTGAAAGTAATTGTTACTTGTAAATAAATGCTTATTACCGCCTGTATTTCAGCCTTCTTTATTAGGCACTCAGATGGGATGGGAAATATATAAATAAATACACATTGATAATTATTATATGGTTTGATGTCATTTTTTTAATATTATCTAACGTTATTATCTACCGTTATGAAGACAATATAAAGTTATCTCACTTTATCAAATGGGACGGAATATTTAAAATACATATTGATAATTATGGGTTGATATTTTTTTTTTTCCACTTTTTATTAAAACCATATCAGACACATGAAACTCCTAGTATGTTGTTAATCTCTGATCAAGTTAATTTGATATTTACAATTTTTATTTCTTACCCTCCAAAAATTAATGTTGCCTTTTAATTAACAAAAGATTTGTTTCCAGTCAGTTTATCAAATAAAATATTCTTTTGAGAATTGTTTATAAATTTCTGATTTTATGTTTGTGTTTCGTTTATTTTTTATTTTCTTTCTTATATCAAATTTTTAATTATTTTTGATGCAAAACCTTTTATAAGTTGTTTACTTGAGATTAAGTTTTAAGAGTTTGGATTTGTTCATCAAATATTAGTTTCTTTTAAGCAACCAGTTTTTCAGGCCCATTTTTAAAAGTTTTTTATGATACAGGAAATGTATTGCATATAGTTTTTATTGCTACTGGAATGTCTGAATCATTGCTGTTGTTATTATTGTTGGATGAAATTGAATAATTAGTAGATGGTACTTTAATCTCAAATCTGGAGCATGGGAAAATTTGTATCTAAATCATTTTTTGTACTATTGTGTGTTTAAATTATGAATAAAATTCCCCCAAAACTGATCTTAAAAAAAAAAAAATGCTTAGTGCTTAATGGATGATTTAAGTAAAAATTACCGTATTTGACAGCATATAAGATGCATCCCAATTTCAGCAGGCCAAATCAAGAAAAAATTAGTAATTAGTAAAATTATTAGTAAATGGTATAGCCTAGGCTATATTTATGAGGTATTATTTTGGTTAAGCAAGCCATGATTACAATTAAGCGAAAAATAATAGGAAAAAAAAGAACACAAGCCTATAAAACTTTATAATATCCAAAGGTAAGAAAACATTAAAAATCAAGCAATTATTAAAATTGAGCAAAGCAGTATAGTTGCCATTAAAATTTTATTCATCTTCAAATCCATAAAATTTGTCGTCTTTGTTATCAAAACTCTAACTACTAACATTATCATTAAATAATGTGTCATCTAATTTCGGCTGACTATTGTGAATTTTAAACCTACAAATGGCATATAAAATGCAGGGGAATTTTAAAATATTTTTAGTTAAAAAAAAGAAAAAAGTGCACCTTATATGCTGTCAAATCTGGTAGTTTGAAAAGTTCATAACAAAGAAAAATTGTATTTGAAGTTGAAAAGTATTGTGATTAGGGTAAGTAGAGTATTTAATGGGTGAACAATTTTAATATGTAAAATTGAGTATATGAAGAAATGTTTGTACATTAAAAAAATAGGAATATAGTAATAGAAAAAAAGTATTTGGATACAAATATAAACGAAAATGTATCTGAATGAACATCGAGAAAAATGGAAAATCTGATGACTATTTGAAAAGTGCATTTTGATTTTAAAACCAGCTGGAAATTCAACTTTAAAAAAAGATCAACAACTACACCAAAATGACTTAATTTCTTGTATGCTTTTTTTTATGATAAAGAAACACAGGGAGAGTATAGGTAATTTTTGTAAGAACAGTTTTTAATCAGAAAAACAAAAAAAAAATAAAAATCTGGTTTTATGATTGCCGAGAAAAGATGCTGTAACCACTTTTATGAGAATTATAAATGAGTGAAGCCAGTTTCTTTTTAGAGTATTTCATGCTATTGGTGGAACCATGTATGCGGCTACTATATATTGGAATATATTTTAAAATATTCTTTCTGATATAACAGTTGACAAAGTGGGGACAGGATCCTGGTGGTTGAGGATGTCAGAAATTGGATTAGATGGTCATTCAGTCCATTTAGTCAGCTGGTCATGCCAAGCCATAAGTCAGATTTTTGTTATTGCTGTATTTCCCTTTAAGCAATTATATGCTTAAGACTTATCGGTGCTCCGGATGCCTTCCATACAGGAATATATTAAGTGTGTATTCATGTTATAGCATTTTCCTTTGTGGCAGATGGGAGCACAGTTTATAATAATCTCTAATTTTATATAGTTCTTAAAAAAAAACAAAAAAAAGCTGCAAAACCTAATGCAAATAGGTACAGTAAGTCACTTTGTTTGATAGAAACTTTTGTGAAATGTCTAAATCCTGGGGTTGATCTTTTTTTTTTTTTTTTACATCTTGATGACTTTTTTCTTTTTTTTTTCCAAAACACATTCATGGAATAGAGCATCAACTACAACAGTGCTTAAATAAAATGAATCAGCAGGCAACCAAAGATGGATGTAATTTCTCAAAAACTAAACCCAATGTGTACAGTTCTATCATTTGAGAAAAATACACAACTTTTTTTTATATTGATGGAATAGAAATGTTTTGTTAAATATTTAGGGATCATTCAAAAAAATGAATTTTCAAATTTTATCCCTCATTTAAAAAAACAATATCAAAATGCAACAAACTTCTGCAACTGCTATATTTAATTACCCACACAGATTAGGGAACTGCTCAACAAACTTTTATAAAATATGCAGATTTTTTTTTAATCCATTCTAAACTTGATTACAAATGTTTCATTTAGCAATTGCCCAGGATATCATCTGAAAAATGCTTGGTACAATATATCATGAGAGTTATGAACTTATTTTAGGGATCTTAGCACTTCTCCCTAGGAGAGCTTGTATGCACAAGTGTTTAAAAATTTAAATCCTGCTCATCCAATTTTTCTCCTGATTGTAATCTTAATTCAAACTATAAAACTGTATTTAAGGAAAAAGAAAACTCAATAAAAACTTGGGATTTCTGGATGGTATCCCCCCCAAAAAATCCAAAATCTCCATCACAGATATTCATAATTTTAGTTCATTTGATAATCCTCTTTGGGCAATTGCACAATTTAAGGTAATTATAAACTTAAATAAACCTTAAAAAATTGATTCTATTATTTCCCAATTTTAACCAATGTTATGTGTTCTTTACAAATGGCTTCATGGTCAGTAACCAAGTTGGATGTGTAACTGTTTCTAATGATCAAACTTAAATATCTCCTGAACAATCTATCTACTTTTAGCACTGAAACTAGTGCAGCAGTTTTAGCACTTGATTTTATTTTTGAGAAATACTCTGAAGGATTCATTATCTTTTCAGATTTACTCTTCATTCTACTATCCATTAAAAATAGAAAACCTTCTTATAGTAAAACTTGAATATATACAACCTTATGTTTTATTTAAAAAAACTCTTTTGTTGACATTAAGTGACATTAGATTTATAGCTAATGACAAAGTTGATTTAAATAATTTTTGTCTGAATTTCGGGGATGAGGAGTTAACATTTATACTATTTATATTTGGACTATTGTTTTCCTCTGTTTTTATCATGTTTTGGATATTATGCCGTTTGGCCTTCCTCATGTGTATATTGATCCGGGTAACCTACAGGGAATTCTAAAATGAACTCTATTTAATCTACAGGGGTAGACTCTTGTTCCACTGCTCAAGTCTAGGGATATTGTCTAGTTCTTATTTTCATTCAGTACTTTTTAGTTATTGCTCACCTGTTTCCACTGAGTGCATGTATACATTGGTCGTTGGTAGAACTCATTGCCAAGTATTAAGGTGTTCATCAATATTTCATCCTGTGTGAAATGAGTCCCATGTATCTGAAGAGATGTTTGCAGCCACTGTATGGTAGGTAGGAGGGTTCAGGCGATAGAGAGTTCTAGTCTTTTCTTTAGCCTCTCTTCATCTCTTCTATTTGTCTTCTGATGTTTTTGAAGGATGTTCTTTTTTCATGGACTGCTCTTCTCCAATTGGTTCATTCTGCAGCTTTTGTTTCCTAATTGACCAGATTGATTTCTGTCCTCAGCAAGATGTTTTTGAGCTGATCCTTGAGTCGATGGCTCCACATGGTCTCTTGCCAGATGCAAGCTCTGAGAAAAAAATTTGTTTGAGTAGGCATATGTCTGGCATTTGGGCAAGGTGTCCGGCCCATCAAAGTTGGTAGCAAGTCATGATGGTTTCTAGGCTCTCCTTCTTTGTGTGGAGGAGAAGTTTGTTGTCTTTGATTTGGTCCTGCAGGATTTGACAAGGTTTCATTTGATAGAATCTTTCAAGTTTGCAGATGTCTTTTTGATAGAATACCCATATCTCACAAGCATACAGGAGAGTTGGGATTACAGCAGCTCAATAGACCATGAGCTTGGTGGTTTGTGTTAACCTGGGATTGCCAAAGGCTCTTTTGAATAGGTTATCATATGCTGTGTAGGCAGGCTTGATTTGAATGTCTTCATGCATTTGATGGTAGTATACTACCCAGGTATAGAAATTGTTCAAGATTCTGCAGTTCCAGTCTGTTGATGGTGATTTTGACTCCTGGTTGTGGTTGAAATCCTGGTCATGATTGGAGCAGGACTTTGGTCTTGCCATGTTGATGGTGAGTTTATAATGCATGTATTATCTGGAGAAGTTGTTTGCTGAGTTCTGGAGATCTTCAAGTTCATGGGCCAGGGTGCAGTTGTCATTGGGGCTCTGTGACTTGTGCATTTGTTGTTCAAGTCTTGCGCCAGAGGTGAGCATTGTAGAAGAGGCTGCCATTGGTGCAGTATTGAAAGTCGAATCTAGGGTTGTTGTGTAGAATCTCCCAAAGCATTGCCACCAAATATATGGAGAAGAGGGTAAGAGAATGTATGCACCCTTGTTTCTATCCCTCTGTGATAGAGGATAGGGTCCAGAAGGCCAGTTTGATGTTGGACACGACCCATCATTCCCTCATATAGAGCTCAGATGAGTGCCATGAATTTCTTGGGGTATCTAAGGACCTGCCACATGGCTGGTCTCGGAACATTGTTGAACACTTTTTCAAGATCATAGAAAATCATCCCCAGGAGTTTTTGCTGCTCTCTGCACTTTTCCTGGATTTTCCTCCATTTCCCAGATTCGGAGGAGGAAGATTTTTGTTTTGAGATGTAATCTGCCATGTTTGATCAGTTTTTATCAGACCTGGGGTTCTAAAGGATTGGATGAACTTGTGCGCAGTTTCAAAATCATGATAGGCAGGGTTGGCAGTCATCCATTATTGCATCAGGTGCTGTGGGAAGTCTGACTCTGCAGTAGTCACAACTGAGAAGGGTAGAGAAGTGTTCTTGCCATCTCACTAGAATGTCTTGTGAGTTCAGTGAGGTTGTCAGCTGCTTTCAGGATGGATGTAAACTCCCTGACAAGACTGAAAACCTTAATTCCTGAGAAGTATTCTCTCATATTTCAGCTGATGGCGTATTGTTGTTGTTCTTCCACCTTGTTTCTCCATCAGGGATTTTTGGATGTTATGGAGCTTCTTTTACTAGTGAACCTTGACATGGAGGAATTTGGCTTTCAGTTGTTAAGATGATGGGTAGGATACATATTCAGTTTTGACTTTCCATTTTGCTTTAATTTGTTGGAAGATCTTGGGTTCATTCTTGTTGAACCAGTCTTTCTGTCATCTTTTCATGTGTCCAATGGTTTCTTTTGCAGCTTTGCACATGGTCTCTCGAAGAGATGTCCACTCTTCTGTGATTTGTTGGGCAGAGTTTGGCATTGCAAGATCATGCTCAACTGCCATTGTGTATTCATTGGCTACCTTTTAATCAGTCAATTTTTGCGTGTCAAATTTCCGTGTCATTGGGTGTTTGATGTGTGGGTGTCTGCATGTTTGGATGTTGAATTTGGACATAATTGATGATCTCTCCAGCAATTGTCAGCTTCGGGCACAGAGCATTTGATGAGGATGTCTCTGTCGGGTGGTGGAATAGTCCAGGGTGTGTCATTGTTTGGATCAAGGATGCCTCCAGGTAGTCTTCTATCAGTGCATTTAAATACTTAGACTGCATTGAACGATACTGAATTCAAAATTCTGTACGCAATTTTTAAACCAAGAATTAAATTAATTTAGAATAAATTTTGATAATGTTGGGAGGACAACGTATATTATTAACTATATTATATAATATAGTTAATGATATATATTTGTAGTGATGAAAAAATAAAAAGTTCTTTATTTCAAAAGAAATAAAAAACAAAAAGATAAGAAATAAAATAAAATAGGTCAAAAGGTCATCATTCTTAAATGGAGATGAAGGAAAAGGGATGGTCAATCCGAAATCAAGAGACAATTCTGAAATTAATTCCTTTATCTCAAAAAAGTTGTAAGCTTAGAAACAGCCAGGCAAGGCAAATGGAGAGTTAATGAAATATTTCGCCCATTTTCTCATACATACATTTTTGGACACATAAAGATTCCACAGAATCAAAAGGATTACTACTATCAAAAGATACTTACATACATACACATTTACAAAGACTCGCTTCTGTCTTTCTCTAATATATGCTAAAGGATTTAGATGTTCAGCACAAGAACTTTCCAATATGAACTCTTTAGATATTGTATATTTTATTTTAAGATATATAAAATTTTATCAGTACATACAAAATATATCTTTGTATTAATTATCTTTGCATATGTTTTTACAAAAGCCAAAAAAAAGTTGGTGTATATTTGGATTCAGGACATTATCCAAAAATAACCACTAGTAAACACATAACCCCTGCCTGGTAACCTTCACATCTTAACTATATTTTTATTCACTATACACTATAAAATATAAAAACTATTTTGGGAGAAGGGTGACTAGGTTTTAGAAAATCTCATAAAAAAAGTCATTTTACCCTGATTATGTGTTGGTCCCACTAAACTTACACATGCTTTTATAAGATTAATGAATAGCAGTTTTGAATGAATGTGGTCATGACATTTCTATCAAGGTTTTTACAATGTAAGCAGTTTGAAAGAATATTTGTGATATCCTATTTTTCCTGAGGGGGAAACAGATTTAGACATGAAACTATAATTCTGTCTAGTGTAATAGCAGCAGCATCATAAAGCAGCTTATATTGATTTATGCTTTGTTTTATTTTTAAAAACTTACTTGCACTCCAGTTGTTGATATACTACTGGGTGCATCTAATCAGATTTACTAACATTTCAGATGCAACCACAGACAGGAATTTTTTTTTCTTTTTTAAATCTCTATATAAAAAAAATGGTACTACTTTGGTGTGCAGTCTACCTGCACTTTTACACTTCAATGTGCAGCTTACCTCCAATAAAAGAACTTTATACTGCAGGATGATAAAAACAAATCAAATAATGATTTATCATTAATGCCATACATTTAATCATACTAATTATAATTATCAGAATCCTAATTATCAAAAAAGGCTAAGTAGTACATTAATGGTCATCATTATGATAGAATTAATTGGTACTACAGGATTAGTTGTCTTCTTCTATTTGCTGTGCGTGATACATGCTGAGGCAATCATGTATCTTTTGATAAATGATTGACGAGGCAGATTTTTTCTTGCAGTAGGTTGCCATTTCTTTCTGCGGTAGACCAGTTACCATCCAAGGCTATAGAACCCGTCTCTCCTGCTATTTACCCATAGCTGCGGGGAGGAGAGGATTCATACCATTCCTAAGGGTATTAGCATGTAAGTGAATGTAATGGATTCGACTGGAATTTGAACTCTCCTCTCAGATTCCTCAATCTGAGCTGCTATCCATTCTCAGGTTAAAAGGGTAAAAATGAAGCACATGAAAGTTAGACAGTATGCTAAAGGTCATTTTATATTGACCAGTCATGAGTGCTCGGGTCATAAGGGTAAAAAAAAAAAAGTTAAACACAAGTAATAAATTCATACCATGAAATGTAGACTGCACGCTAAAGATAATTTCACAATGTAGACATTGGAAACTGTGGTAGACCACATATTAAAATAGTACCAAAAAATGTTAGCATGAATATTTTTTGCATATCAAGACTTAAATATATTTTAATAAATAAAATTGCCAATCAAAGTTCATTTTATGTCATAATTTTTTTACCTTAATGGCTTTTTTTTTTATCCTTTCTTTAGCACTAAAAAATTACTAATTTCAATTATCCAGGGAATTGTTTTATGACAAAACTATTATTTCTAGTAGTTAAATGAAAAGTGAATTTTATGTAACTATGTATAAAAATCTATTTGTTGTATAATAAAAATGTAAACAAAACCAAAACAAAAATGAGGTTATTTGCCACTAAATTGGTTAACATTTGACTACAAATAACTCAAGTTCTGTTGATTTTATGATCATGGTTCTTATGTGAATATTAATCACCATTAAAAGAGCTTTCTAAAGATATACAACTTGATGATATTGGGAGATATGAAAATGTTAGCATGTAGTGGCAAATGCCAAAATCTGACATTTTAAAATTGGCCCAACATAATAAAACACTTGTAGCCCAAGTCATGCTCAAAAGTCCACCATGAAATGTTGTACATATCTTGCTTTAAGACAGACAAATGTTTTAAAAAAAAATTTGAGAAATTAAAGGTCAAATGTTAAGGTTAATGTCAAATTAATTTGTTTTATTTGACCTCTGAATAAAGAAATAAATAGATCACCTTTTTAGATCTATCCAAGTACTTTAAAATGGTATATAATTTAGTTTTTAGGTTAAAAAAAAACAAAGAAAAAATGATATTGATATTTAAAATTGTGAATATTTTCCAAAATTCACCTTTTTGACCTAGAGATACAAAATAGGCACCATTCAATATTTGTATTATGCAACTATGTGTACCAAATCTGAAAAAAGTCAGTGTTGGTGAGATCCTTGTTGATTTGACATTGAATACCTCTAGTGTTTAAAGGAAATTTTGGTTTTGAGTGTTTTATTTTTATTTTATTTTTTTTGTTGTTGAAAAATATAATCATTTTTTCACATGACTGTTTGAATTTTCAGATATATGGTGTGAATTGCTTTTTGAAAATGCTCAAAAACAATTGTATTTAACAACTGTCTGTATTAAAAGGGATCTACTTTTTTTTTCTTTGCAAAGAGTTTACTAAAAAAAAAGGTCTCTCTTGTACTCCTGATCTCTCTAGGCGAAACAATATGTTGAGAAGGCCATGAAACTTGATGGTTCTTACCTTGAAGCAGTTTATGTGATGACTGTGATACTGGGCAAAGAGCAACAATATGATAAGGCTATAGAACTGTGAGTTCTTTCTTTTCTAATCACCCACACATTTGACTTTGTTCTCTTACATTCTTCTAGTTTTCAGCTAAATCCAGTTTTATTCTGTATACATATTCTGAATATTCAAACCAACATTACATTTCTTAATGATAGAAAAAATGTTAAAAGCAAAACTATAGAAACAATGATAGTTGCATTATCACAATACATATCTTCATCTAATCCATAATTGTTTTGCCAAGAAATAAACTGCATTTATCCTTGTATATTCTTTTTACAGCTTTAAGACGAATATTTCAGTTTAAATGCACACTTTGAATATAGGACTTTATTTTCTAAAAGATATTTGATGATATTTGAATGTAAAATTTTAAGCTCTTTCATCCTTCACATTTTATCAAGTGAAACATTTTCTTGTTCTCCTACTAGATAAATTTAAAAATAATTATGAACTTTAAATACAAGCAATCAGTTTATCTTTTCATGTTTATTTTTCTTTTCTCAGGCTCCGTAAAACTCTTGTAAATCACAACACGTGTCACCTTCATCAAATGCTTGGAGATTTCCTTTCACAGACCAATGAGGCCTTAGAGGCTGTCAACCATTACAGCATTGCACTCAGGTAAGTAAATTTTGATGTACTCATCTTTAGAATATATTTGTCTGATAAATCACCATATAGACTGGTTTGGGTATTTTTTGCTGTGTTGTGATATCAATGGTCATTGAGAGATTGCATATGATTGTAGTTTCTCTCTCATGTAGTTCAAAGCTGTTAAGAAGGCAATGAGGGTCATCACTCCACTATCTCTCCCAAGAAATCATAGTAATTCACAAATAATGAAATTTGTAGAGAGCCATAATTGTCTGTCCTAACGAATCATGGTATTAAGAAAAATCAATTTATGAACAGAAAGTGTGCTTCTTTCATGAATCAAGCAATTTTTTCAAGTTATCAGTGTCCCCTTTTTTCAATTAAAGGGACACAACTCTCAATAGCTCATCTTCTATATAATAAATGCAAATGTCAGTGTGTTGCACTTTTTCCACTTTATTCCTAGTGGGCATAGCCCAACATATTATACAATTTTTGAATTGGGCTGACTCGTGAGCAAATTAAAAACAAACATTCCAGGGTGGATCTGGACCTGTAATCCTGAAATTTTGAATTTCCAAGTTTTCATTACTTTTTTTTTTTTTTTTTTTTCTTTCTTTCTTTCTTTCAGCAAATTTTTTTGTGTGATAATAATTTTTATAACCTGGAAATAAATTTGGGAATAATTAAAATTAATTGCAAAACCCAGTGAAAGTCACCCATGAAATTATCGTTGAGCTTTTAAAAGGTAAGCTTAAATACTAAAATTTAAATACTTAAATGCAGCGGTCAATTTTGAGTTCTTGCATAGTTTATTGTTGCCTATCGCATCTACTCCTCCCTACCTGTTGCGATGAAGGTCTAATCAAGAGCCCTCCGCAGGAGATAACTTAAATGATACCTGATAGGGTGGCTTTTAAGCTAGTTATGTATATTTGCGAGAACTTCTTACTGATAATTAAGTCTTCTTGTTGATAGAACAGGTAAATTATTTTTTTTTTTGTTTACCTTTATTTTTGCTATATAAAATCCCCCCCTCCACACTTGCTTTGATATCAGTTGGGCAGGATTTGTGTTAGAGAATACTGGAGCATATATGCAGCATATTGTATAAAATATAGACAACAGCTACAGTATTTTCTGTCTGAATGATAGTTATTATTTATATTTGGTCTAATGTCTCCATCTTTGTTGTTATCACCCAATTGCCTGAATTTTTTGGATGTTGAATTATCATGATTTACAGTCATTCTCCTCTTATCATAACATTTTGGCTCTTATGTTCTCCAGCCTTCTTCAGGCATTTGTTAATCCAAATAACCTTCAGGTAATTTCAAAATGAACCCGTTATTGGGTAGATTGTTCTGATTTGACTGTCCATGTCTAGGGATATATTTTTTGTCTCTCTCCTGTTTCTATAGTTTGAGTTTGTGCTATTACTACCTGGCCCAAGGATTGAACTCTCAATTACTATACCACTAACTAAATTCATGAACCAGCACTTTAATTCATTAGACTTGATTTAATAAGGAGTTCAAATTGAAATTGTGTGAAAGGAGGCTGGTGTGCACAACAGATGGAAAAAGTTGAAGACATTAGCTACAATATTTAATAAAAAATATACTTTAAAATAATTTTCACCCTAAAAATCTTAGAAAAATACAAAATATTTGTTTTAGGATTTTAAATTTTGCCCAACTTAATCACGAGGCTTCTTGTTTCTCATTCGTGTTTTTGTGTGTGTGTGTGTGTGTCTGATTAACACTATTAGTGGAATAGAAAGCCTTTTATCTGAAATTAACTTTGAGTCTTTTTTATTAAAAACTCAGGATGGATCCAGCCAATCTGCCTGCTAAAGAAGGAATCCAACGAATTGAAAAACAAACTGACAATGGCCTGGAAGGTTCTTATGATGTGGAAGTAGAAGACATGGAAGGTAGTGACAATGATGGCAATAATCCTTTGGTAAGTTGAGGTAACTTTTTTTTTTTTTTTTTTTTTTTTTTTTTTGTTCCTTAATTGGTAAGTATAACTTTTCAACTGACTAAATATGAAATTACTTTTTGGTTTCAGGGCGACTTAGAAGGAAGTGATGCGGAAAGCAACTGGTCAGAGACAGATTTCAGCTAACAGCATCCTCTCCCTAGAGAACTAGGGAGTAATCATATTGAACCTGGTTCCTTCTAATAAAAAGAAGGAACTTTTAATATTTTTGAAGTTGAAAAACCAATTAAGAATTCTTATCTGCTAACAGGAGCTAACAACTTCTTGGCTCTAGCACTTGACAACAGAATGGCAACGATTTGATTGGGCTTTTGATTTGGCAAGGGGCTTTTTAGGAATTGTCTGCATTTTTATTGCAGAATTCCCACCCCCCTTTTGAAATGATCCCTTGTCATAATATTGCTGAAAGATTTTTTTTTCTTGAGAAATTCTCACATTGGCAAATGAGTGGAAGGAATATTGCATCGCGTCCACAGTGATTGATTTTTTTTTTTTTTTTTTTAAGAATCTCTGTGAGATTTATTGATCAACTTCAGAGGACAAAACAGTTGAGGAAAAATAAAACCATTCCCCACCAACATGCCTGACAGTCTTACTTTTCCACAGAAAATTTGCTCAGAAGGAATATTTTTTACCTTCTTCAGACTGTTTTATATGAATTTGGCAGCGGCTTTGTTTATGCCCCCCCCCACCATTTGAAAATATTGGATATTTGGTCTCTGATGCTCTATCATCTTGGGAGCTATACTTAATGCCCATAATAACAACAATAAAAAGAAAAGGGTATGACTATAAGTCTTGCAAAATATACAAAGGGAGGACTTTTAAAAAGAATTGAATCCTAACATTTTTATGCTGCCTGTGACTTAACAAAGAAGGTTGAAGATGATTATTATTTACTTTTTTTTTTTTATTTTGTCTCCAAGAATAAAAAAGCTTTTATCCCTTTGGTCAGAGGAAATAAGATTCATGGGCATTTCAAATCTTGGATCTAAAAATCTGATTTCATTGGGTTGAAAATAAATGGTTGACTTTTAACCTTTAAGTTTGGTTCAAAAGAAAGAAAAAAAAAATGTGAATGAATTTGCTACAATTTGATGAAGTTTATGCAAATAAAACTACTTTTGTTGGTTTCCGATTTACTTAGGAGTTAATGTTTTAAGATTTATTTTAAAGTTTCAATCATTTAAAAATCCAACATGTAAGTTCATAAAGTACTTTTTCTTTTGTGACTAGGTTTCAATTTGTTCTTTCTTACATGCTATTTTGATTTTTCTGTTACTGATATTTTTTAAATCAATGCTTTTGCTTCTAAAGAAAAAAAAAATCTTTAATATCAATGAAGGGAATAATGAAATTGAACAATCTTGTCTTTTTACTGAATACATTTACATTATTGTGAAGTTGGCAATATTGCTTCTAGCTTTTATCAGGAATGCGAGTCTTGAATTTCTCTTCAAATGCTGTACACATCTTATCAGTTCTTGCATTTTGATCCTTGAAGGACGTGACCATAACGGAAGCTTACCGTCACTGTGAATTTAATAATATTGAAATTAATGCAACTTTCCTTAGATGTTTTATAATTTTTTTTTTAATAAAAGAATTGCTTTTAAAAGCACAACTAATAAAGGACACTTGTGAAGTTGAAATGAGCTGTTTTCACAATGTTTCAAAATTCTCTATTTATTCAAGTTTCAGTTCTATACCAAAAATTCTTTATTTTTTTAAATAAAGATGAATTAGGTTGGTTTGTCTGGTTTCTACTTTGTCTACTAGTTATATGCAGATATGAGCAATCACTGGAATTTTATTGTTTCAAAAACTGACTTGTTTTGCATCAAATTATAAAGATGTACTAACATTCTTTTTTTTAGTGCCAATTGTTCCACTAGTGGAACATATCCTTGGGTACCAGACGAGCATTAATTTTAACACAATTTACAAATTGTGTTAAAAATTTATTTCGGTCTTTTCCATGTACATTAAGTCTTGTATCTGAAATGTCTTACACTTGTGGAATGAGCACTAAAACATTAAATTTCACATTTACTTTGGGTGCTTACCATAGTGATGGTTGTAAAGCTTGTTTGATTAGTGCTAGTATAGAAGTTTCATTTTCACTGGGTATCTATTAAAAACACATTTTGTCTTTTCAAGATGAGCATTTTTTTTTTTTAGATTAACAGTCAATATCAACTCATACGTTAAGAAAAAACCTTTTTTTTTTGTTACCTGGATGTAAGGGGTGGTCAATTATTTTTAAATAAATTTACTAAGATTTTTTTTTTCTTCCAGTCTTGAGCAATATTAAAGAAAGAATTATATTGAGCAAAAGTTTAAAAATTGTTTATATCTGACATTGGCGAAACCTTTGGAGATTGTTAAAAAAAAAAAAATTTTAAACTGAAAAATTAAATTGTAATTATGAGTTTGGTATGTTTGTATTCCGAGATTTTGCTGACAGATTCTCCACATATTAGTGTTGCTCATTTATTTGAATGCCATCTACTGTCAGTTTAGACAATTATAAGGTGAGTCAACCAATTTTCTTTGACATTTGTGAAAGATCAACACAATGATTGCCATAAATGGGATAAGTTTGTTTTTTTTATTTTCCATCTAAAATTAGCTTAACCCAGACTTTTACACAATTTTTGAGGAGGTCATGTAACAAACCTGTCCAAAAACTGGAAAGGTGACATGAAAATGTCCCAAAAGTATTATAACTTAACATTTTCATGTGTTATGAATCTCAGCAAACTGCTAGAGATTCAAGCAATTTTTGTTCATCATATTTAAACATTGTACAAGTCTTTATAAAATGCAGTTCTTGGTATATTTTCTTGTCATACAGAGGTCCAAAAATCTCTTGAAGGTGACAACCAATGTTGAGCCGGTTAGCAAACTAACCAAAGATTGTGCAGCCAATTTGAAATATTTATTTTTATATTACCAAAAACTTGTGAAATAGTGGTTCTGAGAACGCATGATTAATTCTTTTTAATAGATTTGAAAAAAAAAAAAAAAAATCTAACAATACAAATCAAAAGTCAAACTCCAGAAGAAAACCCAAATAGGGTAGAGAGACTGTTGAACATTGTCAGCTAACTGATAGGGAGAGTGAGGAAAAAAAACTAATTGAATTATAAGGTTTTCTTTGCTTGGGAAAAATTCTTACTAGACATGGAAATTGCTGAAATAGAGTGAATGGTGTTTCTTTACTGTATAGATTACACACCTGATGAAGGAATTGAAAGTCACATAATTTACAGTAGAGCAAGACTAGAATGGATAGAAATATTGTATTAACTGCAGTCAACACCAAGTCGGGTTGTAAACATTGCTTTCAATCACTTAATTAAATTTTGGCAGTTACAATGTTCCAAGAATGTCAAATCTGACTTTATCATAATCAGTTTTCAAAGTCAAAAATATTAGCTCTACAACAAATTGGTTAAAAAAAAAAAAAAAAAAATTATATGTCTGTCTGTCTGTCTGTCTGTCTCTCTGAATATACTTATTGTAAAGTTAGTTTCTTTAGCCAATAATCTAGTGGTGTTGCAAAAAAGAATTCCATTTAAAAGATCAATGTTTGCCAACAAGATTCTATATTTACTGGTTACTTTCTGTTCCATGTTTAAAGCCATATATCATCATATTGCACCACCAGCCTTTTTGCCCATTTTTAACCATATTGCAATATTTAAGCAGGTTTTATATATAAAATAGAATTTTAGGGTTCACAATTTGATTTTTTTAAGCTTTATTTGTAGAAAGATGTTTTTACTGTTTTGATTTTAACTTAAAACTTGCTTCTCCAAACAATTAACATTTTCTCAAAACTAAATACATGCAGCTTATATAACGGATTTCTTAGTATGTTGGTGCAAGAAAAAAAAAAAAAAAAAAAAAAAAAAAAAACAAACTAGGTTTAGTCAAAGGCAATTTTTACAGACTTAGTTATATTAGTTTACACTTAGTATATGAGAGGGAGGAAATCCTCTGAAGAAGGATCAGAAGAAATGAAACCATCTTCATTACTTTTATTATACAGATAAAAAACAAAAACATCACGTGTAATGACACTTTCTTGCATTTTTCATTCATTTCAGTTGTATAAAATTAGTTTTAAAAACAAATATACATTTTAAATTAAAAATGTCCACATTTACCCCTAAATTTTGATTCAGCTATGAATATAACCAGCAGAAAGAGAAAAAAAAAAATTAATTTAATAATGTTTACTCTAAAGATTCACTGTGTCCTGAAGTTTTTTTTATATATATATATATATATATATATATATAAAATATATATTTCCATATAATATATATATATCATTTTAAAAAGGTATCTATTTCCAACAATTTCTTTTCATTTTAGGAATTAGACTTTCTTTTCAATATTGAAGGAGTGAGACTCATCTTAGGTGAATTGAGAAATCAAGTTGGAATAAGGATAAAGAACAATTAAAATTTCAAAGTCATAAGTGAAAAAGAAAAGTGCTCTGGTTAAAATAATTAATCTTTAACACAAGCTGAATTTCATTCATGTCCAACTCTTGGGTTTTCTTTATTTGGAAAAAAAAAAAAAAAAAAAAAAAAAGAGTTAAAAACAAAAGTAAAAAAGTCTTTATAAATAAAAGGACATTGTTAAAAATCCCAACACACATATAGCAGACAGGCAAACTGGGTCTCATGTGAAGATTTTGAAGTTTTGATTAAAATCCAACATTCAGTTTGCTATTGCATTTGCAAACCTTATGGCAGGTCAACTAGAAAGTTGTGTACTTTCATCAATTGAGGGTATAAGTACCCCCCCCCCGCCCTTAAACAGCAGACCTATATTTTCTCTGGGGGGGGGGGGTATTTGGAGTGGTTGATGTCAAATGAGCAACAGCACAATCACTAGACTTATCAGGTGCCAATAATAATGTACACTGTCCCCTGTACTTTGAAGGGTAAAACCAAGACTAGTGCACCATCCCCAACCCCAATTTAAAAAGAAATAAGGTCTATGTTTTATTTCTAGGCATAAAGAAAAGTCCCAGAGAACTATGTCCAAAGCAGAGAGATGGTCAAAATACAAGTGGCAATCTGTCTGCAGTTTGGGCATAGTGGAGGATGATGACCTGAGAAGCCAAAAACTACTGACAAATATGGCATCTTCAGACAGTACTGATTTTTTTTTCATTTTTTTTTCCCTCCATTTGTGTGTGAATTTAGATATATTTATATACAAAATAGTTTACTGCTTGGATCTTTAATTCAAGAGACAAGTACAAGGAGGAGTATTTGACAAGGGCAGAGGAAGGGGGGAAAAGAAAAAAAAAAGTGCTTGAGGGAGAGGGTATTCCTCCTTGTAGAATGATTTTAATGAAGAATGAATGGTGACAAGATGAATTCTGAGCAGTGTCTTAAATTTGATGGAGCCTTATATGAGATGGAAGAAGAGAAAAATCTATCAAAGGAAATAATCAGGCTGCGGCTTTTTAGATGGGATGCCTCGACATTCCTGGAAGAAAGAAAAAAAAAAAAAAAAAAAATTATAAATTCCAATAAATTGACAAAGGTGTTTGTACACAAACATTTTTTGTGAAAGGTACTGAACTAAATATTGAAAGTTAATTCTTTAATTGAGTATTTAAAATAAAAAAAAAATTCAATCAAGTGAGATGAGGTTTCATCTGAGTCTTTTTTTACAATATTCAAATAAAACTAATTAAGAAAACAAATATTAAAATAAAAAGTTAACATTGAAATTCAATAGTTTGATTGGTTTATTGTGAAGATCCAGAGAGTGGCAGTGGCAAATCTGAACTCTAACATACACCACTCCTACACACATTGTACCTGAAGTGTATTGTGTCTTTGTTACAGTTGTACATTTATATAACAATTATATGGAATACTAAGATACTCATTTGACATGTAATACTAGCACCAAGAAAATCAAAGGTTGACTATACAGACAGACAGAATAGTACTCCAAAGTATATGCAGATATAATTTTAAATCTTTGTGACTAGTATTTTCAAAGTTTAACAAAAAAAAAAAAAAAAAAAAAAAAAAAAAAATCCTTGCTTTTGGTTCCCCAACTATGGATGTCCACAGCATTCAGAAATTTCAAATGAAGTTGATGGTGCATCAATGTAGTGCTATATTGAAGTAGAAATAAGCAGAAGTCAAGAACTTTGATGCTTATCAGATCCTTCCATATGGAAGATTTCTCAAATTGCATGGCTCTTTGCAAATTCTGGCCATGTTTTGAAGCAGACACATGTGTGATCAGTCTTTCATATTAAAAATTTATTGCACTCAAAACTTCCAGAACATTTACAATCCCCTTTTTTGTCACATTTACTGTCATACTGACATTCATTTTGATGAATAATTTCCCAAGCTGCCTATTAGCTGTATTGCAGTTAAGTATTATATAACTGGTAGAAATTAGACTCCTCTCTCCAACCTCACATTTGGCTGGCTACATCAGTTCCCCCATGATATAATAGTCTTTTTTGGGCTCTTGAGGTGGAGACACCTGTGTTTTCTAAGTACATCATAGTAAAATCCTTTTGGATTTTTTTTTTTTTTTTTTTTTTAAAATGCAAGTAAATTCAATAAGCGCTATATATATATATATATATATATATATATATATATATATATATATATGTTGAGGGGATTTGCACAAATGCGATTTTCAAGTTCCATAACAAAATTAATTTATATTAAATCCTCATCAAAATAAACATGGTGATTAAGTGACAAATCCGGTTACTTACTGTAGATTTTTTAAATAATATACAAGACAGATACTCACTTGTGGAGCAGCTTCAAAAATAGTAAAATCTCTTTGTACATGTTCATCAAGTTCTAAGATAGCAGCCACATTACCACATCTGAAAGACAAAGAAGTTAAAATAACCATAATATGATTGCAATCATGAATTGCATATTTTGACAAAGATTTTTTTGGTGAACTTTTTCACTTTGTGAAATAAAAAACAGTAACAGGCAGAATGTTAAATCCAGTTTGAAGTGGACATGAATATGAAGCTTGTGAGTGGGGAAAGAAAACTAATACCAGAAATTTTGTTCATTTGATTAATATGGGGATTTTTTTTTAAAGTTATTTCATGGTTAATAGTTGGATTGGAATCAAAAGATGTCAGTGATTTGTCCAATCAATGAAAGAGGGCCCCAGAGCAGGCTTAAAATTCATTTTAATTTATTTCCAACCTTCAGAGAATGGACAGAATTGCCACCATTAGAACACCATTGGAGATGGAAAGAAAGAGCAGCAAGCTCATACAAACTTATGACCTGATAATTGACTTCTACAGATGTTCAGATCTCATTAAATTACAATTGAAAATAAACAGATGAACTGAATTTTTTCTTTGTTAATCTCATTTGAATCAACAACCCAATTGATTCTATAATGTTTCAATAAAGTAATAATATTATGATAAAATATTTCAGACAAATATTGTTTCACTAACATGTAGAGATTTCCTTACCTATAGCAATAGTTTGGGGCTGACCAAACTGTTAACACGGTCTCATTAAAGTGCCACTTGTAGCCTTCCATAACTAACTGATGTGCTCTGCAAATAAGGTCAATATCATTGGCAACATTAAACTGTGACACAACATCACTGCCAAAAAGGTAACCAGCACCTCTGGGGGACACACCCCAGCCTTGCATATCTGAAAGAAACAATTGATCAAATTAAATTTTAAAGACAAAACAGTAATAATTTCTTAGATATATCTTCACAATTGGTTTTAGGGAGATCAAAGTTAAAATGAACACTAAGCAATAAGAGAAAAAAAAAAAAAAAAAAAAAAAAAAAACAGAACAGTTCCATCTTCTACCTTTTCTGATTAACTAAACCAGAAACAAGTTTATATTCTTAACACTAAGAACATTGAGAATCATCTACCCAAAGGATTTCAACTAATGATTAAGAAGGTTTTTGTTAAATGCTTGGTAGCCAATGAATTGTAAGTCACTAGGTCTATGCTTTAACCAGACATAGTAAGTAGTGTTTTTGGTAACAGAATTTGTCTAACCTCTTGGCAGTTGGAGGGTTGCTAAATGCTGGTTTTGAGCTGAGGGTGGGATTAATATAAAAAATAAAATTAAATAAATAAATAAATACCTTCAGGATCTGACCAGAGGAGATCACACATGGGGCCATCATGTGGAACTTCTTGTTTTCTGTCTATTGCTCGAATTTGATCTAATGTTTGTATTGATGGTGATAAACCTCCATGAACACAAAAAATCTGCAGTGGGGAGAAAAGATTACATTTGATTCCATTGATATTGTCATAATAGCAATAATTACAAAACATTCAGTATGCATGCAGGTAGCCAAAAATCTACACATTCCTCTCAAAGCAAACAAAAACTACCAAATGAGTGGTTTTTAAAATAAAACAGCTGATCTTGTAAAATGTGTTGAAACAAATAAATTCTGGAGGTAAAATGCACGCAAATAGAGTACATACTTTTAAGATTCCTTCAGCTTCTTTATTCCCCGACATTGCTCCATGTCAATTATTTGGACTATCTCAAAGAGGACAAAATGTATTCTTTTTCCCTTCCAGATATGGTCTACCAGCCCAGATTTTCCCCACTTCGTGTGTAGCTATGGCCTTCTAGTATTTCTCAGCTCTGACTTTAAGAGGACAGCTAGTTTCCCTACACCTTTCTTTGTTCCTAGTCCTAGAAACAATTTCAAAAAGCTTTTCTGAATCTCAAGAGCTTTAACAAGAGGGCTCTTTTCTTTAAACAGACAGAACCAACAAAAGGAGATAAGTAATGTATGAATCATTTAACTTGATTAGATTCTATGTTCAAAATTTCGTAATTGCCTTAGGAGTACTTACTTTGCCATCAATTATTGCTGACAGACTAAGGAAGTCAAAAATCTCAGTACAATAGCGCCAGACTGTGATGGAACCATATTTTCTTAAACATTCATCATAAAATCCATAAACTTGTGTGATCTGCCTACTTTCATGATTGCCCCGAATGAGGGTAATTCTGTCGGGATATCTGACCTGTAATAGGAAAAAGAAAAAGAAAAAAAGAGTAATTAGTAATTTGAATATGTAAAAATAAAAGGTCTATTTCATCAACTTTGCATAGTAGATAATATGGGGGATCAGGATTGAGTTTTAGTTCTCATTCACAACACAAGGGAAAGAGAGAGAAGAAAAATTCAGAAATAAGTTAGAAGTCAATTACAAGATGAGAAGTTCCACGTATGTTAAATCCAATTACATGATGGAATTTGAAAATACTCTAAAAAAAAAAAAAAAAAAAAAAAAAAAAAACTACATGCTTTATACTTGGTAACCTCACTGGAAATCAGGTACCACCACAAACATTGACATTGGGGGGGGGGAGAGAAAGAGCGTCAATGGAAATAAGTACCTTTAAAGCTAACAATAATAAAAATGTTTCTACGCTGTAAAAACCTCTGTCAACAAAGTCGCCCATAAATAGATAATTTGTGTCTGGTACATAACCTCCAACTTTAAACAATTCTTTCAAATCATAAAATTGGCCATGAATATCTCCACAAACCTGAAAAAATAAAAGAATAAAAAATAAATAAACAAAATTCAAAATATAAGACAAGGTAAACAGAAGTTTTATAAAGATATGCTTCAGAAAATTCAGCAGAAAAATTTCAAAACTGACAACCTAATAAAACTAATTTAGAAGTTTTTAATAAATTCAGTTTTGTTCTCACAAAAGATATGGGTATAATATTTCACACAAGTCACATTGAAGATTCAAAAATATATATACGAATTATCCGGTTGTCCTATACGTGCAAATCCGAAGAACAGCTGGGTCAGCCACTGGTGGTTAGGACACCTTTCAGGTCAAACTTGCTGATGCACCTGGCTTCTGACACTTGTGCAAAACCTATTTCGCTATCATCACAGATCATCAACTTTTAAATGAAAGATTCCTTATTGAAATTAAATTAATTCCAGATCATCTAATATCAGTCACTCACTCTCACACAAAGAGACTAGTTACACTCATAGTAACAGTAAAAGAGAAAGTAAATACATGAATAAATTGTGAGATGAAATTGGAAAGTGACAACTTACTGTAACAGGAGAATCTACTTTTTGTACATTGCTTTCTTCGATAAGGATTTCTCTGGCTTTTGCACAAAGAGCTTTGACTTCATTTTCTTTAATGATTTCACATCTTCTCAGCTGCTCAATTTGTCTAAAAAAGAAAGAAAATGAATTCAACATAAAAACTGCTTTCCAACCTTCAAATTGTAAGAATCAGCAAATAATCATAAAAGAAAATCATATCTATAAGAGATTATAAGAAAGTTTATAACATACAAAAATATTATTTATATTTGACTATAGCTAGATTTGAGAACATTCTTAAATATACTGCAACATCCCAAAGGATTGAGGATTTTGACATGTGCAGGCTTTCAGTAAATATTTTCATATTTGATCCTATTCCTGCAAAAGAATTTTTCAGCAGGATACCCACCCACCTGATGCCTGTACTACTCAGTTTGCTCTGCAAGATGATGACTAGGTTAAAAAGATATGAAAAACAGATTCTGACTCCTGGTTATCCCACTGATAACTAATGATGCATTGCATCAGGTGTAAGAGGTAAAGAATCATGATATTCACCATCTGTATAATCAGAAGCATGTAAAAGTAAAGGTCTGTGTTAATCCTTCAAGGAAGAAGATATACAATATATGGAGTCTGGGTACTGTTGATATGCTCCTCATCTTAGAACCTGCAATGGTATAGATCTCTATATGTGATCATTTACTGCAATTCACCTATATTGCCTTAAGTCTGAATTTTGGATAAATTCAAATACATTAAAGATATTGCAATTTTATCTTACATCAGTAGATCTTAAATTTTGCAGAGCTGCTTAAGGATCAACAAAAAGGCAACTAATTTATTGGTTTCAATCAGGAATGGGAATGTTTATTGTTACTAAAACAACGATTTTGGAACAAGGACAAAGAAGAATTGGGATAAGGCTGGTCAACACTTTCTACCCTAGACCTAGCTAATTAAATTTACAACCAACTTATTCATTACAATTAGCTCATTCATCACAAGAATTCATCCACCACCATTCAATCTTACATATAACAATACCACATATACACAGGGAACCTATGAAAAAAGACAGAAATAGAGAAGGACAATGGCATATGGTTGGAAAAGGAGGTCAGAAGAATGTTGCCTCTATCTCCCCAATTGACAGTGACAAAAGGGGGATCAGTTTCATATGCAGAAAAAAACTAAGAGTTGATGCCACCAGCAGACCCCCCCAAAAAAAAAACTATATCTGCTTAGTAAGTTTGAATGGCCAAGGGCTGAGTCTAAAAGGGCTTGTCTCTCTTACGATCTTCAACAACTCAGTGTTAATGTCTGTTGTGTACAGAAGATCCACCTTATAGCAAGTGATTATGAGGGTGTGCTGTCAAGGTGGTTATAACCCTTATATTTTGATAAGTGTTCGAGGGATGTTTCCTGGCTAGTGAGTTGTTCTTTGGACGCCACTTGTTCATTTGTCTTCATGGATCCAGTGGGCAAATTGTGCATGCTGGATGTTACTATAAAGTGTATTGACTCATTGGGGTTTATGTGCCCAATGACCGTAGAAAACAGGAAGTCCTCTTTCAGAGAATCAATCAGTTTGTGATATTGTCAAACAGGTAGTTTTAGCAGGTGCTAGTGCCAGTACTAACATTCCCTCGGATTTAAAAAAAGAAGGAGTTCATTACCAACCTTGATCAGGTAGATAAATTCCAAAATTAACATCCAAAGTGAGTAGAATGGACTTGGACAGATAGGGGCTGCTCATATATGATGCAGCATTCTAGCTACATCGATCAAGTTCTAGTTAGGTGAGTTGACTTAGATCTTCTAGGCTGTCCAAGTTTCCATAGTGTAGTTTATTTTGAACATAGGCACATCCATGTTCGCATAAACTTGATTTTGATAATTTGTTTAAACTTAATATTATGTTTGAATTTTTGATTATCCATGGTGGTATGTTTGATTGGTTGGTTTTAAGCATTTGATTAGACTGTATATTATTTTCTTGGATGATTCCTTCCATTTGGAATCCTAATGTTTTGATTTTATTTGTGTTAAGATTAAATTTCTCTTTATGATTTGGTGTAAGTACAGTCGTGTGTGGGGTTAGAAGGGCAGGAGGAGAGTTTTAGATGGTACTGAGTGGCTAGTTTTTCCTTTCTTAGTTGTAATGGGGGTTCGTTTGCCTCTACATGTAGACTATGGGTGAGGTGGGATAGGCTCCTAGAGCTATCCGAAGGCCTTCATGGTGTATTGCATTTATTGTTTTTAGATAGGACTTTCTAGTTGATTGGTAGACCATGCTGCCATAGTCCAATTTGGAACGGATCAATGTTCTATAAAGTTTTAGAAGGGTTTCTTTGCTAGCACCCCATTCTGTGTGGGCTACTTTTTGTAGTAGTTGAAGAGCTTTAAAACATTTTGTTTTTAGGTAATTGATATGTGGTCTAAAGGTCAGTTTGCTGTCAAAGATCATTCCTAGAAATTTGTATTGCTGAACTACTGGTATTTCTTCATTTTCTAGTTTTAAAGTTGGGTTATTGTGTAATTTTTTCAGTTGGCAGAAGTGTACAGATTTTGTTTTTGATATTTTAAAACCATTTGAGTGTCCATTTGTTTATTTGATGTAAGCATTGTTGGAGTTGTCTTTCTGCTGTGCTGAGGTTTCTTGATCTGTAATATATTGTAAAATCATCAGCGTAATGGCTACAGTATGTTCCTGGTTTGATGTTTATTATGTCATTTATTTTTATTTTGAAAAGTGTAGGGGAGAGTACACTTCCATGTGGTACTCCCTCTTCTTGCTTTTGATAATCAAATAGTGTAGTATCTATTTGTACTTGGAAGAGTCTGTTAAAAATCCTTTTACAAAGTTTGGTAGTCGACCTAGTTTATGCAGATCTTTTATTATACCATGTTTCCAGGTTTGATCAAATGCCTTTTCTATATCAAAGAACATGGCTATTAGATGTTTGTTTAAATTGGCCTCTCTTATGGCTGTTTCTAGTCTTATGTGATCTATTGTGCTTCTTCCTTTATTATATCCACATTGATATTTTGATATGTGTTTTCCTTCTTCTAGAAACCAACTCAATCTGGCATTGACCACTCGCTCCATTGTCTTACATAAACAGCTTGTTAATGCTATTGGTCGGTAATTTTGTGGATTGTTTCCCTCCTTGAGTATGGGAATAATTATCGATTCTCTCCATATCCCGGGAAATTTCCCAGTTGTCCAAATATTGTTAAAAATATTCAAGAGGTACTTCAGCAATTCCTGTGGTAGTTGTTTAATAAATTCATAGTGGATTTGGTCTGGGCCTACTGCTGTGTTGTGGGATTTTTTTATGGCTTTTATTAGTTCTGTTTCAGTGAATAGGTTGTTGTAGGCTTCTGTATTTTTAGATGAGAAATTTAGTTGGTTATTTATGTCTTTTTGTTTATACTTTTGTAGGTTTTGATTTTTATTCATTTTAGAGTTTTCTGCAAATGTCTCTGCTAGTAGGTTTGCTATCTCTTTTTTGCTGGTTGCTTTAGTGTTGTTCTTTTTAAGATGTATTATTGGGGATATTTGATTTTTTCCAGCTATTTTTCTCATCATTGCCCATATTGTTTTGGTTTTGGAATGTGTATTTAGGCTGTTTACATATTTTTTCAAACATTCCCTTTTGGCTTCTTTAACAGTTTTTCATGCTACTGCTTTGAGTTTTTTCATTTCAGTCAAATTTTGGGTTGTGGATTCCTTTTTGAATTTTCGCAGTGCTGCTTTCCGGTTTCTGACTGCTTTTTGGCAGTTTTTGTCAAACCAGGGTTTAGTTTTTTTATAATTATTTTGCTTTTTTGGTATATTTTCTGAGGCTATGGTTATTAGTGTTTTGGTAAAGTATTCTATCAAGTTGTCTGTGTCTTTTGACTGTATCAGTAATTGTTTACAGTTGTTTTTGAAGCCCTCCCAGTTGGCTCTTTTCAGTTTCCATCTGACGGGGCCTGTCTTTTCTTCCTTGGCAAGCTTTTGATTTTCTAGAATGATCAGGTAATGATCACTGCCACATGTGTCGCTGTGTGTTTTCCATGTATAGTCCATACAAATTTCTGGATCACATATACTTAAGTCTATTGACGATTCTGATCCACTGGAGGGATTTAGGTAGGTCGAGGATTTATGATTTAATCGACATAAGTTATGGGTGTTTATTATTTCTTCTAATATTTTACCTTTAGTATCTAGCTTTTTGCTATTCCAGATAGGATTATGACTGTTGAAGTCTCCTAGTAAGATTCTGGGTTTAGGAAGTTGTTTATTTCTGTTGTATTTATTGGTTCTTGTGGGTGGTATATAAATGGACAGAATTGTGATGGTTTTATCTAGTGTCACTTGTGTTGCTATTGCTTGTAATTTAGTTTTAATGTGTACTTTACTTTGCGGTATGTCATTTCTAATCAATATTGACACTCCTCCATTAGCTCTGTCCTGTATTGTGGTTGTAGTCGTATTGTTTATAATTTTTAATTTAGCATTTTCTTGTAAATAAGTTTCCTGTAAACAGATGATGGCTGGGTGCAGTAGTGATATAAGTATGAAGTAGGTCATTGCAATTAGATTTTATTCCACGACAGTTCCATTGCATGATCTTATGTGCCATAATTATATTTTCATTTTTGGGGGGTAAAGTTACCTTCTAGGTTTATATCATTTGTCCTCTCCAGTTTTTTTCAATCTTTATCTTCAATTGCTTGTGGTGTCCTTCGGTCAGAGTTTTGGTTTTGTTTTGGAATTTGTTTATTTTCATTCTCTTCTATTTCCATATATTCCAGAGGTTCAAATTTATTTTCATTTGATATATTGATCCTTGATTTTGAGTTAGATCTTGATCGAATGTTTTCTTGTTCTGTTGTCACTTTTGTCTTTTTGTTTATTTTTCATTTTCTTGGTTTGGGAAGAAGAGGGTTCGCTGGAGTTTTGTTCTGTTTTCTTTCCAGGGTTTTTTGCCTTCTTTTGGGTTAATTCCATTTGATTTGGGTTGTTGAGTTTTACTTTGATCCGATTTAAGTTCGGTTAAGGTTTTTAATTCTTCAAGGAAAGCTTTTAATTCCTTATATAAATTTGTTATTTCAGTTGAATCTTTTATTTTATCTTCACTGTTTATTTTATTTGCTTTTTGTACCAAGGAGGCATAGGGGTTTTCTTTTATGTTATTTTTAACTTCTTTTCGTGCTTCTGAGAAAGATTTTTTTTGCATTTTATTATGATCATTTCTTTTTCCTGTTTGTAGATACTACATTGTTTTGAGAGGGCAGAGTGGTTTCCCAAACAGTTTGAGCATAGGCTCTCATTTGGACAGTTCTCTTCTTTATGTTCTGGTTCTTTCTCACTATATTTTCCACATGTTTTTTTGTTTTGACAGGAATCTGTGATACCCAAATTTGTGGCATCTGTAACGTTGAAGAGGGATTGGTATGTATTGGTCCACTTTTTATAATTTCATATCCAATTTTAAATGCTGTTGGAAATGGGGGGGGGTCAGAATGTAGGTATTAGTTTTGTATCTGCTTCATTTTTCTTTTTTTGTGATTCGTTTGACGTTTGTAACACCTTGAGTTTGGAGTTCTATTTTTATCTCCTCTAGATTGCACAGGGAGAGCTCCTTGCTTTTTACTACACCCTTTGAGAAATTTAGGGTTTGGTGTGGGTAGGATTTTATTTCTATTTCTTGTAATTTTTTTTGTCTTATTAGTGTATCCGCATATATTTTTTTTTTTTTTCCACTAGTAATGTTCCATTTTTGTAGTTTTTTTTTTTTTTTTTTTTTACATTTTTGGTATGATTATTTTTGATATAGCTTTTTGAATTTTAAATGGAGATATTTCAGTTAGTGCTTTGTTGCTTATTGTTTCTAGAACAATAAATCGTGGAAAGTTTTCACTATCATTTTCTGTTCCAGAGTCGTTATCCACATGTGATCTCTTGGAAGATTTTTTTTTTTGCATCGATTGTTTTTATTTTGATTCATCATCCATGCTCCCTGCCCACCGTGGAGTCCAGGATTGGGACATGACAAGGGGGAAACCCATTCGCCTTGCCATGTCGGGTCTACGTGAAAGGTATACTCTCTTTCGGAGGAGTTTTTGAGCATGCATGTTCCTTTGTTTCCATTACCCAAATTTTATGGCTGTGAAGGTTTAGCAGGTGTGTCAGATCCTTTTTTCTCCTAAATTGATTGACCCTCAACCACCGCCTTCCATCATATATTTAAGGGTGGATTACATATGATGGGGCTTGACATGACCAGCCGATTGATCAGATCAGGCCCCTCTGACTGCCCGTCTAGCCCAAATAGGGGCCAAAGTGCTGTGTTTCAGGGTTGTGACCGCTTTACACCTGGGTCACGACCTGCTCAACCACCAGGATCCCATTCCCAGACATTACGGGTCGTCACCCACAGCCAACAGGTGGGCCCACTGAGGGACTTTTACCCTCTGCAGGGGAGCAGTCGGCGTATTCTGATGCCCCACCGACCAGGCGGATTGGGATATGGATGTATTTTCTCTCTCTCATATATATATATATATATATATATATTTATTACACACACACGGATTTATTATAATGCATACTTAGGTCAGTGAATGTGACTAGTTAAGTTAAAGTCAGACCAGTGATGACCACTCTACTCCATCCCCTACTTTTGATCTTGCGCCACAATGCTACGTTTACTTGTCCAAACTTGCTCGTGTGTGAACCCCAATTTTTAGTGTGAACTTTTTTGCCATATTACTGTTAATTTGCCCTGCATACATTGCTTGCTTTAAATTACTTTGTACGTGTTTTTTTTTTCTTCTTTTTATTGCCAAAGTAATGCCTTCTACAGAAATTTCAGATACAGGGAACACAATAACAGCTGAATAGAGTTTTCAGCTACAAAATAGGTAATATATTTAAGCATTGGTAACAGATGTTGGACATCATAGATCCCTGCTTCATATGTATTTTCATACCAGAAACCATTTTGATAGATTGCTGTTCAGTTTTTATTTGTAAGGAAGCAAAAACTTCTGATGTTAGCAACCATCATAATTTCTATAGTTTCTACAAGGCAGACATTTTGTAAAACATTAAAATGCAGAAGGGCCAAACAAAGCTCAAATATTTATTGGTTTATTAATGATTTTATTCCCGGGTACTAGGAAGCATTATTTTGTATTAATATACCAAAAACATTATAAATTTTACAAATATTTACAATTACAAGTCCTAAAAGTAGGTCAGGTATAAACTGAAAAATAACTTCTTGTTTCTGCAGAACAGAAATTAGTTACAATTTTTGAAAAGTAACCAGACAGGATTTTCCACTAAAGTGGAATTAAATAGAGTAGGCTTTTTTTGTGTTAACATGAGAGCATTAGAATTTCATCTTAAAAGGTTCAACAAATAATATTACTGAATTGTTAAATACAATAAGCTATTCTCAAAATGAACATTACAGTATGTTCAGTTTGATTATCTAGAAGTTTGGGCATTTAATTGTAAGCTACAAGGGTTTTATTATTAGCAGAGTAAACTAAGATTTTTAGTGATTTACTTAAGAGAAAAGTAAAACTATTAGTTGTGTACATGAGAAATTAGTATTATCAAAGTTGCATAAATATCAATATACTTTATTCAAGGTTCAGTAAAATTTCTATATATTTTTGCTTCACATTATTTTCAGGAAAAAAAATAATTTACCTATCAAGATCACTATATTCTGTCATTTTGAGTCACACGGTTAAGACCACTTCCTGGAAAAAGAGAGAAAAAAAAACTTTAAAACATTTAAGACAACTATTAAAGAATTGAGCATTACAAAATGAACTATTACCATTTTTAAAAGTAAAACACTTCATGTATCAATTACACTACCTTTACCACACACACAGAGAGAGAGAGAGAGAGAGAGAGAGAGAGAGAGAGAGAGAGAGAGAGAGAGAGAGAGAGAGAGAGAGAGAGAGAGAGAGAGAGAGAGAGAGAGAGAGAGAGAGAGAGAGAGAGAGAGAGAGAGAGAGAGAAGAAAAATATTTTTTTTTTGCATTAGAAGCAGCCATAAATAGTACATTAGTATTTTATAACTTCTGAAAACTTAATTAGACAATAGACAAAGTTAACTCTAGTTTTGACATTTTTAATCAACAGGTATTTAGTTTTTTTTAATGTTAGCAACAAATTGTTTACAGTATATTAAAAACATCTGACCCATTTCCCAAATGATGAAACATCAGAATTTTGGGCAAGCCAAGAACTTTTCAGTGAATCAATTTATAAAAACAACCTGATACTTTTACTTTGTTTTGATATTTTTAGGAAAAAAGTGAAATAACCATATTTAAAACTTTCAGTTTCAAGGACTTGATATTCAAAACACAAAAAAGGTAATTTATAACCTGTGCTAATTTGTCATTTTAATAATTGTTTTTATAAAATCCCACCAATATGTGCTACCCATATGGATTTTACAAATTAATCTACACTTAGTCAGTTGGAATGGGAATTATTTTGATTATAATTTACCAAGTAGAGTAAATTGCAAGTAGTTGAGGGAGCAATGCAAGTTATTAGGATCAAGTAAAATAAGGAACCTTTAAGCTGAATGACATTTGAACTAGACCAGTTGATACCATTAAGAATTTGGGCCAAAATTCAATAAAGAAGTTTTTTTGTTAAATACTATTCTATAATTCTACTTTAATCATATATGAAGTCACCAAAGTACTTCCGACTGCTATTATACACATATGCAAACCATTAAAGGCCATGCCATAGTGTGACACTTGTCTATCTCAAATCTAGTTTCACTTGGACTCTTAGTTAGTAGTTCACTGCTGTAGTTGGCTTAAAAGATTCAAAGAATTTTCTATTTTATTTTTTCATTGCAAAAGGTTTTTGTGCAAAATTTACAAAAGTAATTTAGGAAACTTGAACTTTGTTAGAAATTAACTTTTTTACTTAAATATTCTCTATAAATTTTTTTTTACTCAGAAGCAAATACACCAATGAGCAACTTTATTTTTGTGTAACCTGTATTTTCTGTTTCTAACAAGTGAAGAAAGAGTGAAATGTAACGTTTTAATTTTATATTTTAAACAGGTTGTATTTTTGAAGATTTTTGATTTGTTTTTACACTGCAAAATTTAAAAAATGCTTTGTTACATAAATCTAATATTAATTCTTGCTCCCAGTGGAATAAGATTTGAGTAAGCCTCCAATTCTGGATAAGAAATACACTGTATTTGGCCTTTAGTAAAGAACACCATGGGTTAAACAGATCATTGTTACCCTGAAACTGTTATTGTTTCTAAAAGAGTTTGTTATGCTTTTGATTTTTCTTGTAATCTGGTCATCACTTCCTGAGGGAGGGAGATCAAGTAGAAGAGGGAAAGTACAGAACCTCTCAACAATACAAAACCCAAAGAGTGAACTCCCAAATGCCAGAAGACCAGACAGGTTTTAAGCAATACTTTTATCCAGTAGGAAATACGAAATATTCTTCAAGCATAGAATACAAAATGAGAAAGATTAAGCCCCTATGGATTGAATAAAGAATTTGATTCAAAATTCTAAGGTGGTTACTGAATACAGTAGTTGAAAAGTGAGTATCACAATCAAGAGGAGTAATTGAATTCAAATAGCATGACAATTTATATTATATCGATTTTAACAAATCTAAATTAAAATAGTTATATTTTATTTCTATATCAAGAGCATAAGAATTAAACCTCAAGCATTAAAAATTTATATTTATTTCCTACATGGAATAACTTATATAACCTATCTATAACAAATAATCATTAGACTTGATAATTCATATTTCCAAGAATTGCAAATTCAGCATAAATATTTTTTTTTTATATAGTTTCCAAAAGATAGAATTAAGTAGTGTGTGCATACACACACAAAATATATATTATACATACACACACAACCTGTTTAAAAATACTTTAAAAAACCTTCGTTAAAAATTACGGGAAAAAGTAAAACATTGAATACAGGTTTGTTGACAATGTCAACAAGAGAACTTTCAGCTTGTAGAATGGATAGAAGAGATTTTATTGAATTAATGCAAAAACTTCCCAGTTCCAGCAGTAGCACAATGTTAAGAAAATGTTAGCTCCATTTGCTTGTGCAAGTGTAGTATATCATTTACAAAATGAAATCCACATGATTTTATTTTTTATAATATATATATATATATATATATATATAACTTGCCCTTCCTCTGGTTAAAAAACAGAAGTGATTTGGGGGTAAGATCCTTTCTGGCAATAAAAAAAATGAATGACAAGAATCCTAGATCAAGTACAATCAAAATAACATCTACTGGAGGGAAAAAAAAAAAAAATGTTTCATGGGGATTTAACGGGAATTCCTTCTTGTGAATTACTGGACAAACTGTTAGTGCACAACACTACAGCAAGTAGTTTGAATAATGTTACACACACAATCTAATAAACACTTATGGTGTCTTTTCCTGACCTATCAATTCCATAGTTTGAAAATCTTTATGATGTACTTTAAACCAAAGAACTCACTCATCAAAATTAATAAACAAAGTTCTCAAAATCTACTTCCAAAACTATATTATATGTTGAATTTATGAATTAGCAATGATATTTGGCATTGAATGGATCAAATCCCTTTCATTTGCTCCAGTGGCCAATGCAGTCATTGCAAAGATTAATATATGTTAAAACAACATGAGCAAAATTGTCCTAATTAAAGTAAATAGGATGGAAAATTTTGGCAGTTATTTCATATACTGCATTTTACAGTATTATCAGATATAATAGGTCTGATTTATTATCGATGTCCCCTCATGATGTTGGCGATCATGGCTCTCCACAACTTCCTCTTTACCCCGTAACTTTTAATAAACTATCTTTCATTTCTCCTAAGCACTGTTCTGCCATCCATTTACTAAAGCTCATTAAGTATGTTATGCATTGTTTTTCTTTGTCCCTCTTGCTCTGTCTCATGAGTATCAGATTTTCCGAGCCCACCCTCCATCATGTCGCAGAAGCCTCAACTATACCTTCCTGATGTTAAGTATTAGTTTTTTTTTTGTTTTCATTTTCTCCCAAACTGTCATTTCTCACACATTCAGGTCACGATTCTGTAGAACCACATTTCTGTTGCTTCAAGTTCCCTCTTCATCTTTAAAAAGATTTCCCAGCACTTACTGCCATACAGGAGGGCAGATATCACGTAACAGTTTAGTACTCTATTCCTTGTTTCTAGCAAAATTTTCCTATTTCTTATTGCTCTTCTGAGCTTTTGGAATGCTTCCTTTATGTTAGATTTTCAAAATATCTCAACACTCCTCCCAGGCTGTGATCTAAATACTAAGTTGGTTATCACTTTTAGAGCAGAAAATGGCATCATATGAATAACCAAGCTATTATAAAAGCCATTATAAAAAAAAAAAAAAAAAAAAAAAAAATAAAATCAGATCACAAAACCAGATTGGAAATGACAATTTATTTTAATTTGTTTTCTAGAGCAGAATATGCAAATCAGTTATCTGCATTAAGGAAGAGGTTGAGCCAAGCTACCTGCTGGTAGATATAAGTTGCTAAATCTGCATTAATTTGAGGTCTTTGCTTATATAATAACTGGGCACATACACATATACAATTTTACTCAATCTTTTTTGTCTTCAGTCCAATGCACATTTATGACAAATCACAGAAATAATATTTTACAAATTTTTAACACTGCCACATTCTCAAAGAATAAGAAAAATTGTTTAAGCAATAAATGATTAAACTTAAACTACTATTACATTTGGCATTTATGCACAGGATAAAGACAATGTTAATCAAGTGAAGGAATTCTGAAATCTATAAATAAAAAAAAAATCATGTGAAAGAATAATTTTCCTTTATTGCAAATAATTATAAGATTTTATCAATATTAAACAAGGAAAACTATTTGCTAAGAAAAAAGAAATTGATTAAAAGAAAAGTGCTGCATGACATACAATTATTAAGCTAAATTAATGTACTAGCAAGTTCTCTTAAAGACTGACACACACACATACTAATTCTTTAGTTGGAGAAAATAAAATAGAGCTCTCAGCATTTTTGCAATTTCACCATCTGTTTCCATTTATACAATTTAAAACCCTATAATTAAGAAAAAAATTATCAACATGATAATATGAAAAATAAATTTAACAGTTGTCTTGTTAAAAATGTTGCTTACTGTTTGATTAATATACAACAATAAAGCAATTTTCTCAGAGTTGCTTTTACAGGTCCAAGTTCATAGCAACACCAACAAATCTTCAGATTGTGCACTGAAAAGTTATCACTCCACAAGTTGCCAATATTGAGAAAGGTGATGAAAACTACAATGGTATGTATAGCAGAAGGGGAATAATTATATCCCCCTCATCCCATCCCATTGAGTATTATACTTATTCATACCTAGCTTGCACATTTCAAAACTCATATTTTGTTCTATGATCATAGAACTGCCTCCCCCCACTCCCCAGTTTTATCAGCTCCATTGGACTAGCAGCTTAATGAGCCCTGAATCCTGATAGAGTACATAGCAGAAATAGATTAGAAATCGGGCAAGGACAGTGTGGTTTAGTTAAAGACATTGGAACAAGAAATGCAATCTTTATGACCAGAATGTTACCAGAGTACAGAATACAAATGCAGAAGGATGTAGACCCATGTTTCATAGACTATGCAAAAACTTTTGACAAAGTACAAGGATTTATTTGAACTGATAGAAAAATACTATAACATTTACTGGGGAACTAATAGGAAATGAATTGAACAAATACATAAAAAAAAAATAGAAATAAGAAAAATATGCATCCTCTACAGCAAGGTTATCTAAGATATGTAGGTTCTGCTGGGATTTATTACTGGTGGGCACAACACCAGCATAAGGCATGCAGATGACACCATACCATTGGCAGATAAACTACAGATACTGCCACAAATTATCTGAAATTGAGAAGAAAGGACTAACCACTAATTGCCAGAGAGAATGTATAGTCATTAGCAAGAGAGCCCAAAATGTAAACTACAAATTGTAGATACCAAA